TTGGCGGAGGCTTGGTGGAGACGCTGCCTGGGGCGCGGCGGCCTTGGCTGCCCACGGCGCTGGGGCGCGCCCTTCAGATGATGGCGCCTCGGTCTGGTGGGAGGATCGGCCCGCTTTTTTTTTGTTATGGCTGGGTCGGGCCAGCAGTCTGGCGCTGGAGCAATGGCCCAATGGGGAAAAGAAAAAAACAACAGCAACCCAGGTTGGACAGGGCCATCCGGCCATCAACCCTCCAACGCACTTGTTGCGCTGGGGCAGGAGAAGGGCAGTTGCATGCAGTTGCACTTTTTCTCACGGTTGGGGTAGCCTTTGTTCTTGATGTGTTTCTCACTTGCCCACAGCCGACCTTCGACCTTTTGGTTTCGCAGTATTGTTCGTCCCTGTTTCGTTGTGGATCCAACATGCTATCCTTATACTTCAGGTGTTTTCGTCAACTGAGGTCATGCATTGCGCTTTGCCCCGGCTTTCACAACTTGACTGTTCATTCCATTCCTGGTCTATTCGACTTGCGGCCCCTCGTATGAGTTCGGCTGGGTCTGACAACCACTGGGTCCCTTGGCCGAGGCCTGCTTAAGCGGCTTCGGAGCCATGTCAGTGCTTGCCCTCTTTGCCTAGGTGCGGTGCCGGGGTACTGGGTGTACTCACGCCAGTCATCCAGTCAGCTGAGCCATCAACATGATTTTAGATAAACGAGACTAGGGGGGCACAGTGACAACCACAAGTGACAACCACAAATATGTCCCTGCGATCAAAGTGGCAGAGTGGACTTTTTGGCTTTGAACACACGTCCAGACCATGTGATAAGGAGCCGTCTGGTGCTTCGCTTGCCCTGAATTCCCTAGGTCAGGGCAAGATTGATATGAACCGGCGGCGGCATAGGTCTTGCCGCCCTCAAACCTGCCAAAGCGTGGCGCCCGCAGATGAACTCTTCGTGTTAGGCTGTTGAGTTTGTTTTGGGTACGTACCAGGCTTGCAGTGTGTCTGCAATCCCGCAACGGGGCGGGTCTAATGCCACTCTCATCTTTCCAGTCAGCTTGCCATGGCAGCGAAACCCATGACAACTTCACAATTAGTGAGGACTTTGAGCAGCCCTTCCCACGAAAGAGGCTCCTTTCTTTTAGATGGCTCATGTACATTCACCAAGGCCGGTGCAAGCCAAGTTTGTTACAAGCGACTGGGTCCTTTGCGGGGAGTGGGCTCGAGCCACAAGCCACATGCCACATCACGCCACTTCAAAGCAAAGTAACCCCAGCAACCGTTTGGCTTGACAACCGCCAAGGATGGCCTTTTAAGCCATGGCAGATGGGCTTCTGAGCGTTGCCTTGCTTATGAAGATGCTCACTTAGTTTTCAGATAGGCGTCTTAACGACTTGGCAATTCTGCCACGCTCCTTGCTGGCGCCTTGAGGGTCTAAAAGTGCATCTGGCGAACCTTGAACCGTGTGGGTGCTCTAAACTCGGTGGATTTTTTTTTCCCATTCATCGCCTTGAACAATCCAGCAGTTGTGCCCTCCAAAGGAAGAGGGAGCACATCCCAAGACGATCTCCAACAACCGCAGGCTTTTACTTGGGCATCAGGCGGAAAGAAGTGGAATATTTCTTGAACAAAGCCAGGCTGGAGTGCGGAGATGTCATGGGTGGTTCGACCCGCATTCTTTGAAGCCTTATTCAGGCCCCATTGGAGGGGAGGTAAGCAACGCCCCACAACACCCAGACAACACAGTTCACCTTTTAATTCCACAACCCCGGCAAAAGTTCTTGCAGCTTGTGGGGCGCAGGGTTCTAATGCATTTTCTTCATAAGAAACACAGAGGGTGGCGACAGTGCGGCGGTTGGGAGGGGGGCCCCATGGGGTCCGGAAGCAGCCAGGTGTCGCATGCGCCAGGCCTGGAACCGTAAAGTTGCCAGGGGTAGTCCCGGGCCGCTTGAATCATGGAAGCCAGGCACGGGAAAGAGACCAGCGCTTTTTTGGGGACTCAACTGACCTTGGAAGTGTTCGATCTGGGCCCTTTTTCCGTGTGTCCACGGGCAGGGTTCGGTATGGCCAGACCTTGCAGATGTTATCAAGGTCAAAGAAAATCCCTATGCACTGAATCTTGGATGTGGTGGGGCGGATTGGCTAGTGGGCGCAGGTATCTCATGTTGTGCGTGGCTGACCTGGAAAAGAATGCCAAGAGATTTGGCATCCCCTCTTGGATAGCTGAGATTTCTTTTTGCCAGCTACACGTATGCATTTGCAAAAAACCCTGGGCCCTAGACGTTTTGACGCATCACGTGGTTATCCTGCCGCTGGCTTCTAGGATTCAAGGTTTGAAACTCAGCCTTCGGAAGGAGAACTCGGATCGCTCCTGCGCATGACGCACAAAGCGTCGGCTTCCGAAGAGCCCACCGACAGCTCGCAGATTTTTCCCCCAAAGGCTCACCACGGTGGTCCTAGCAGCCTTTCTCAAACCAGGGCCGAAAGGCTACGCACCTTTTGCCCACACGATGAACCAGGGAGGGCGTCACGTTGACATGCGCTCATGTTGCACCTATCGCTTTTGCCAAGACAAGCCATGACCCTTTCACACGCACACACCACACACACACACTTGCTTTGGTAGCCTTCCTGGTAGAGAGAAAGGTCCTGGACTAGTAGGCAGCATGCATCCAGCATGAGATAGAGATACCTGTTTCACGCTGCAAGCATCACAGCTGAGTGCTGCGGCTGTCTCCCAGAAACTAACTAATCTTTGTCATCTCAAGTGACTTGAAGCGACATTTGCTTTCCCAAGCCTAGTGCGGGGACTGAAAGACTCTCTCACTTGCAATGTTTGAGAATCGGCCGTGCATTCTACTTGACTGCTGGATCAGGCCATGATTCTTCCCGTTCTGGCCTCATCTGCGCCGATGCTGTTCCAATCGCCGGCATGATCTACGTCTAGAATGCGCTCGAACCGATCTGATCGACCAAAAGCAAGTTCCTAATCATGGGGGCTCCGGATAGTTTCTTCGGGAGCGATCGAAGCGCACCTCACAGGCAAGCAGCGGCAAAGAATCACGGCCCGACTTGCTCTTTTGCAGCTCCAGTGCCTCATGTCCATCCGCGGCGTCCAATTTTGGGACAGCTTTGGGCCCTTCCAATCCTTTCTGGAAGCCCTGGGCAGAAAGGGTCAGAGGTCAGCAGTTCGCACACTGCAAGAGAAGGCTCGCCAAATATTGACCAGATTCAAAGGTGTGTAGTCCCCCGGAACTTAGTAGTTTTGACCTTGCGCACTACGTGTCAGATTCTAAAAGAGTCAAATTCTAAAGAACAAGTTTTGGATTGGTGCCAAAGCTGAGGTTGTGAAAGGGAAACTCGTATTGTGGAGGGGCCCTGGCGGAGCCTTTAAGCCCGACATGTGCGCACCAAGACGCAGGGCACAAGGCGGACTAGCCATTGGCAAAGTGCATGGAGGGTGTTCTTTTGGATGGCAATGAACGGAACCGTGAAAGATGGCTAAGACCTGTCAAGCCACTTCAGGATGTTTTGAGGACTCATTTTTCCCGCCCAGTTTGGCAATGTAGCGATCAGTGGCGTGCAATGTCAGACCTTTCCGGGAACCAATGCGGCTGTTGTGATTTTGCTCTGCAGTTGTGTGCCCCCCACCTCCTGTGGGCAACCTTGGTGGCGCCATGAACCATGGATTCAATCTTGCCCGTGTGGAGCAGTTTTTTTCCGAGCAGATACCCCGCGTTAGCCACCGCCACCCTTCCAATGCCTTCCCATGCAGATGGGCAAGGCGGAATTCGGCTTGATCCCTAGGCCCTGCGAGCCGGCCTATGCCCATGGTTTTCCATGGCAGGACCACCCATGTGGACCACCCATGTGCGTTCTCGGCTGTGAAGCTAAGAACTTCAGCTTGACTGCCCCCGGAGGATGGCACGTCGAGGGTTGGCACGGGCGCCGAATCTAGGACTTCAGCAAGCCGTTGAAGCTTTTGAGTCATTTGAATGTATATATATATATATTATATACAAATCCAGCGTGCTGAGCAAGGGTTTCCCTGAACGAAACTCTGCAGTTGTACGAAATACTTGCCAAATGCAGTAGGAAAGCAGCCGGTCTGTTGACTCATCCTGACAATCAATCCCGCCAGTCCCCGAGGTTGCTTTCACATTCTCCAGCGGGCAGGAGGAACGTTTGCTTGAGATGTCTTGCGTGGAAAAGGAGCTCTTCCTTCGCAGCTCAGGTGCACGGCTCACCCAAGATTCATCAACCAGTTAAAGTCCGGTTCCTTCCGTTCATTGCTGGCTTTTGCGCGCGAATGGACAGGTGTACACATTGAAGGGGGTGTCACCAGCAGTTGCCAGGACAAAATTGGGCTAGGCCCGGTTGTGGCCAGCATCGTTTCCGTGCTTGCCGTTGTGAATGATCTACCTGCGCTTGACCGTGCAGGGGGGCATTGAAATGGGAGGTGGGGTGACACAGGCGAGTGAGGTTGAGACTGCTTTTCTGTTTGCTTTGCGGCATCATTCGGTTGGTTCTCTACTGGAGTCACAGGAACGGAGGGGGGGGGGCAAGGAAATATCCTGTTTTCCACGGCCACTGGCAATTGTGTACATTGCACATGCTGTTGAATAGATAGGGTGCCGCTCGTCGGCCGTCGGCTCCTGTTTTGTCTTGCCCTGGCTTCACTTGGTTGCTAGGGACGACCACCAACAATTTAGAAGAATTTGCACCATAAGGGTTGCTATTGGGGATTGGTAGCTGGCACCCTGTGTAGTCGGACATTGCATGGTTTCCTTGTCTCCTTCCATTTGATCAATGATCTCTTAGCGGGTTAGAACATCAGCTTGCATTCCTTCAATATGATGTATAATATATATATATATATCATGAGTTTGCTGTCACACTGCACTCGGAGCAACTTGGGGACATGTGCAAAATCAGAAGCCCCCCGATTTGTTCTACGCTTGGTGCCAGAGCCCAACATTTGGCATCACGTGAGCTGCCCAATTCGGTCCCGCGCTCAGTCCGAGGTGGAGTCAAGTCTGGCAAAGGCGCCGGGGGGGGGGGGGGAATGTTGCTTGAAGGTTTCGAGGGCTTAGGATCGCCGGGGGCCTCGCACTCAAAGTCAAAAAAACATCTTATGGTGGTTACGTGTGCTGTGAGCCAGTAACAGTAGACCCTTTAAACCGGTTTTCGCGCAGGAACGGGACACAAGCTGGTCGGCCGGCATGAGGAATTGGGGCTGTGCCAGCTTTTCTTGGCCCGTTGCGCCCAAAGAAGGCCCCCAACAACGACGCGCTCCAACTCCGGCAACTCCGGCCATTCTCGAAATCACCGGATTCTGCAAGAGGGCCCTCTGAATTGCAGGTCTTCTTATGATATCTTGCGTGGACCTTTACGAGCTGAGTTGCAAGGTGGAATGCTTGGGCGTCGATTTCCGGTCAACGCTTGCAAGGCTTGCCCCTTCTGTGGGCGATCGCCAAGGAAGCTCTTTGGGTTTAGGTCTTTGTTGTGGCACTTGCTGGGAAATATCAAAGTCAGCAATTGGGTTTTCGCATTTACCTGCCACTTTGACCATGGTGAATTAATCCCTGGTCCCTGTGAGCAGAAGTTTGCAGTGTCTTTTGGGGACACCTCTTTTGGCGGCCAGACGGAAATCCAATATTTTTGGGTTGCCACCTCAACATTTATACCAGTTTGTTTTGGCAGCAAGCCAAACCGCCTTGAAACCTGCCAACTTGAAAAAGCAAATCCGCACGTGTCTCAGCAAAAAGCTGCTTTGCCCCAGGACTTGACGCAGGTGGGAGGCGAAACCTCGGCCCTGAGAGCTGCGGTGGAAGTGCTGCAGACCAAGCTGGCGGCGGCGGAGGTGAGCGGCGGTTGAGCTTGGTTTGCGCTTTTTTGGTTTTGCACATATGGCTGTGGGTCAAAAACAATGGTACCATTTTGGGGTAGGTGCACCACCCATTTTAGTTTTTTTTAGTGGGGATTGGGACGTTCACTGAGGGTACGGGATTTTGACCCATGGCCATATTTGTGTTCGCGGTGCTTTGCTTGTAAGTTTGCGCTTGGTGTTTTTTGGTCTCTAGTCCTATCTTTGTTTCGTTGGTATCATGTATTTGTTTTTGCAGTTGTTGGATGCCTCTTCTATTCTGAGTGATGTTCAACGCTGCTTTCAGTTGCTGTGTTGTGTCGGCTTGTTTCCTTGAGCATGTTGTTGTTTTCATGACGTGTGTGTGTGTGTGTGTGTGTTATCGTTCTCTTTTGTTTGATTGGTTGGTTGGTTGGTTGGCTGGCTGGCTGGCTGGCTGGCTGGCTGGCTGGCTGGTTGGTTGGTTGGTTGGTTCTTTGTTTGTGTTTGTTTGCTTGGTTGTTTGTTTCTTTGGTTTGGTTGGTCGGTTTGTTTGGTTGGTTTGTTTGGTTGGTTTTGTTGGTTGGTTTGGTTGGTTGGTTGGTTGGTTGGTTGGTTGGTTGGTTGGTTGGTTGGTTGGTTGGTTGGTTGGCCGGTTGTTCGTTTGTGTGTGTTCGCGCGTGCATGTATGCGCTCTTTGAGTATTGTCTATTCTTTGCACGGGACTATGGGGCATAATGGTTTGTAGTGTGCCGTTTTGTGTTCATGGTGTCTGGACGTGTTGCTTAACTTCCCAGCACGGATTAAAGTGGCAGGGGCCTCTGGGCGACTCTGGATCACTTTTCGCAGGCCAAACGGGTATTTCCCTGCTGCCCAACAATTTGCCCTCAGAACTCTAACAAGATTTGGGCCTCTTTTCACAACCGGTCGAAATGGTGTCAATGGTGTGTGTGTGTGTTGTTCAAGCAGTATTTGCAAAGTTACGTTCAATCCATATTCGAAATCAGATGCACTAGCTGATGCATAGAATCCCGGATCTCGTTGATGGTCGGATGTCTTTTTCAGGCCATCGGCCCAATTCTGTCACAATCACACGGGTATGGGCCAAAGCTAGCTGAACCTGCTGCGGGATGGGCTTGCGAACTGAAACCTCGTGGGGCCTAGCCATTGCTGTGCCATACAAACAAACGACTTATGGCGGTGACACAGTGGAGTTTTATTCATTTGCGAGAACTCCCACTCTACGGTAATAGGGAACCAAGAACCCTGTTCCTTCATGATGCTTTACTGTATGTTCTTTTTTCCCCTTTTTCGCAAACAACATTGGACGATTAGATCTCCTCTGCATTGTGCCGGCGTTGCGGGTTTTCATTTCGTGCTGAAGCCGATGCACCGATACACCGATATTATCCCTCCTCAGGATATCGGCGCGCGCGGATTTCGGCGTGCGCCCCGATATCCCCCCCCCTTGGTGGATATCGGCGCGCGCACCGATACCCCGGAGAAGGATATCGGTTGCCCCTCCCCTGCTCGGAATGCGGCCGATATCGGCGCGCCGGCGTGCGCACCGATATCCCCCCCACCCCCCCCTTCCGAGCAGGACATCGGTGCGCCGCCGGATATCGGCACGCGCGGAAATCGGCGCGCCGGCGCGCGCCGATATCCCCCGCCGCCAGAGAAGGATATCGGTGCGCCCCCCCCACCCCCCGGTTCCGATGCGTCTGGCAGCATATCGGTGCGGTGGATATCGGCGCACCGATATCTGGGAGAAGGAGATCGGGTCCCAGATGTCAGCGCGCCGGATAGCGGAATGTGCCCCCATATCCGTGCGCCCGCCCCGACATCAGGGCGCTCTGATATCGGCGCGCGCACGGTGGATTTCGGCGCGCGCACCGATGCCCCCCTCACTCGAAGAAGGATATCCGCACGCCCGGGTATCAGTGCGCCGGATATCGCTGCGTGAAAATCCCGCTTGTCCTGTACAACAAACGGTTGCTACTTGGTGTGGGCGAAAACAAACCTTCCGTGAACGGTTCTTTGCATCTGAGGTCCTTGGCCACGAGTCTGGATCTTCTGAACGTTGCCTCCAGTCATGCACATGTCTGGTCTGCAAAACCAAAGGTTCTTCTCCATCTTCTGAAAGGTGTCCATGGCACGGCAAAAGTGCACCCATCTTCAACAGGCGATCGATTTCTTCTTGATCTGCATCTCGATTGATTCGCTCCATCTGCTCTTCACTCAATTCTGGTGGAGATGCATTGTGAGAAACCTTCCATTCATCATCGTTGAAGAACTTATATGAGTTGTCATCATCTTCCAAATCCGAATCTGCATAAAATGCATCCCGACGGAATCAGTCCCATGCATGTCCACTTCTGAAACTGCTTGATTGCGCTGCCGTTTTGTTGCTGCCTCATCTTCTCTAAGGGGTTGCGGGGGAGTCCTAGGTATGTTCTCTCCTCGGCTACAAGCAGGATTTGGTGGCTGCTCAGGCTGCGGCTGGTGGCGCCCTCAACGCTGATGGCCTGAAAGAAATCAAATGTGTCTCATCTCGCAGAACGTGTTGACCAATCAATTCCTTTCGCGTTGGGATGTCTTCCTCACCCAACGTCTCAGGTTCACTGCCCCCAAAGCAGGACATCGGCGCACGGCCCACCCAGAGCAGGATAGGCGCGCGCACGCATCGATATGATCCCGACACCTTTCTTGGAACTTGCAGCAGAAGATAGATGTCGGCGAGCGCCCCCGTATGCCCCCAGTTATGTCAATCTTGATATTGATTGGGTCCGTTTCTATTGATACAAACATTTTGTGCTAAGGTGGGTTTTGCACCGTTTTGACTTTCCATTGCACACTTTCTCTTGATTTGGACGGTGCAGTTTCTGTTGATTTGGGTGGTGCATTTGGTTTGACACGAGGCCAATTCAATCATGTTTCTGCACATGTTTTTCCCACGGTATCTGTTTGGATTTTCATGCGTCTAAATAGCGCATATAGACAAATATCATATGTCTATGCAACGGCGATATTTGAATAAGGATAGCTTTACAAATGAGTATGTGTGTATGTATGACAACACGTTGGTTACGCGTGTACGTTGAAATTTCTGCTCACCAATATCAATTACCCATTGGGGCTGCTACCTTATTATTTCCCTTATGACAGTGGCGCGCAAACGTCTTTGTAGAAGCCCAGCCGAAAACAGCACGGTTGAACTACAAGGTGCCCGGTATCAAGAAGCATGTTGAAATTGAAAAACTATCAAGTCAAGTGTTGGAAGGCCCGGTGAGCAGTAAATCCGAGGACTTAAAACCACGAACCAAATTTCGGGATGCCCAAGAGACAGCGCAAACATCACCGTGACAAAATGCGGCCGGAACAGTAAATAGGAAGCTCGAAACACTATGAAACAAGAATTTCGCAACGTTTGGTGATAGAATTATGGGGGCCACACATGTTTATGGGCTGTGAAACAGTTTTGAAGAAATGCAGCTACGGACTCCACATGTCTGCGGCGTCAAAATGTTGCTCGCCACATATTTGACAAAACACGGTTTCTGGCAACTACAAATTTTAACGGATGATCTTATTTTGAGTTTATACTGCAGGAGCATTTTGTGGACTACAACTTCCGGCGGCCTCACAAGTTTGCAGGCCGCACGCTTGACAAACAATCTGACAACGAGCATAGTTTGACCATACAGATCAAGACCATCCAGATCAAGAGATTGACTGAACAATTGGTGACCACACATTGACATGTTTTTGGCCAAAGCTGGTTGAACATATAGCTCAGGCACATTTCTGGACTATAATTCAAACTGTCGACATGTTTGACACAGTACACTCGTGACTGCAAGCTTTGACGGTCAACATATTTTGTTTAATGCGCAGGGTTTGCTGTGGCCTCAAGAAATTGCAGGCCAAACACTTGACCGACAAATGTGATTATGCTGTTGAATTGATGAACACGAACTGAACACATGGATAAGGAACACTTTGTGTACTACAACTTCCTCTGGCCTCAAAAGTTTGCAGGCCAAATGGTTGACAGAACGCCTGGTCACCACAATGTTCTTAATTGTCAACAACTGTTTTGGTGTTGTATAAAAAGGGAGACTCTCTGGGCTGCTGTGTTCTGCGGCCTCAGAATTTTGCTGGCCAAATTTTGACAGACAAACTCATCGTTTTGAACGCTTGTCAAGGGAAATGTTTGGAGTATGATTGAGCCTCGGCATTTTGCAGGCCAAAATGTTTGACAACAGGATTTAGTGACTACCTAGTGTTATGGGTCAAAATACTTTGAACCTGGGGTTAGGATAAATTTCTGGACTACAGTTTCAGTGGTCTCAACGTTTCACCTCCAAATGTTTGACAGACACAATTGGCAACTGCATTTTTCTGGGTCAACATAGTTTGTGAACAGGCCGACTCGTTGACAAACATGGATGAAACATAATTTGTAAACTCTAAATTAAGGAAAAATGTCTGGATTACAGCTTTCTGTGGCTTCCAAAATTGCAGCCGACAGGTGTGTCAGGCAAATTGGTGACTACCTCTTTCTATTGGCAAAAGCATTTTGACAGTATATTTTTTTTCATGGATGACACCCTGCCCTTCCCAAGCGGTTACAGTTGCCATTGGTGACGCCCTCGATTCAAAGGCTTGATTCCAACTCGGATGACCGATGCCTTCCGGGGCGCAACAAGGATATCGGTGCGCGCGGCCCAGCAAGGATATGGGCTCGCGTGGATATCGGCGCACGCGCCGATACCTACTGGGGCCTGGCATCAAGGATATCGGCGCGCGCGGGTGTTGTCGCGCGCACTATCGGGGCCCAGCAGGGATATCGGCGCGCGCGGATATCGGCGTGCGCACCGATTTTTACTGGAGCGCAGCAAGGATATCGCGCGCGGATATAGGCGCGCGCACTGATATCTATTCGGGCCCGGCAAGGATATCGGCGCGCGCGGACATCGGCGCGGCACGGGTTTGAACCCGCCACGCCCCCACCCTGCTCTTCTGGAAACATGAGAGCAAGCTCTGGGGTAAATTCAGCGCACCATGATTGAGGTTCCTTCGGGCTCTCTTATGTCAGCGAATTTAACTTTGCCCCTCTGCACGCAATGGCAACGTACCTTGGCGAAATGGCCCTTCCGGAGCCCATCCCCATACCCCAGATTCCCTCTGTGAGCCCAGGGGGAATGATGAGATGGATGATTTCCCCGGATCTCTTCAGGAAGGAACTGCAGAGATGCAAGCCGCCCTCAGTGACCTCCGCCTGCGGCTGTTGGGGTGCGAGGCGTGCCGTGCCGTGCCGTGGAGGATTGCTGGAGAAATTCGAGGGGAAAGGACCGAAGTAAGATTAGTTTACTTGGGGGTAGCTCATTCAAATGGATTTTCCATTTTGGGTAGACCAAATATGAATCAGTCTCTGAACCACGATTTTGGTGAACAGAGTTGGGCCAAGGTCACATTGTGGCCCTTTCATAGGGCGTCCTTTTTCGTTCGCAGAGTCCGAAGCTCCCCTGGCCACCGTGCATCGGGAATTCGCGCTACCAAAATGGCACCGCAGCTTAAACGGAGAATGTGGGAGTGGAGCTAACAATGAGTGGTTTTCATGCGGTATTCATGTGTGTATATTTTATTTGCCCCCGCCAAAAGGGAAGCCTCAAGAAACGCCCGTATATCATATGACTGGACAAATGAAAGTGCCACCGTTGGGATTTCAGGCGCGTTGTCACCATGGGTTGCAGCCACATTGCACTTTGCCATAGGAGTGTTAGACACGCCTAGTTGCTGGGATGGCAAGAAGCGGTTTCAGAGCCTGCCCCTTCTTGTGACCCAGACTGGGAGTGCGTGTCGTTCCCCCCTCGCACGGTGACATTTGTGAGCTGCGGACATCCGCACAGACTTATGAAAGGCGAGCGGCATGTGTTTCGGTTCAGACATTCCGTGGAGATGATTTGTTCCTCTGCCATAGTTGTCCAGTTGTTCAGTTCAAAGGTGAGTTAACCCCCATCTTACCCACCGGCCCCTAGGCAAACAAGTCCAGCAAGCTTCTGGCATTCGGTGCCCTGGACACTCTCGCGAACGCGGCTTTGTCCAACTTTGGTTGGCTTGGTTGTCAAAATGATGCCAAGCACTTGCCGTGTTGCTGAGTCTGGGACCCCAAAATGTGCTGCTTCGGTCAGGTGTGGTCCTTGAGCGTTGCTGAGTGTTCATGAGGGCCGTGCTTGCTGAGTGCTACTGAGACCTCGTCGGCGCTACTGGAGCGCCGCTGAGTGCTACTGGGTCTACACCCGCTGATGTTCAATCAGCTCGGGTTCAATGCGAGCGTTGCATCACAACCGAGCGCTGAGCAGGACAGAGCATAGGGATGAGAACACTCAGAGAGAGGATCGATTTTGAGTAGAAATGCCTTGCCGAGGCTAAGCCTAAGCTACGACTTACTAAGCGTAGCATGTATGATCGATGTGTTTCTTCACATTGGGACCCTGAGGCCGCTCAGAATTCACATTTGGGGGGGTAACATGGGGGGGGGTTGCAGTCACCTTGAATCAGTGGCACCCCTTTCGCTTTTGTTTGAAGGGCTCCCCACTTTCATGGTCGCTAGACAACAGGGTGATGCTTACAACGACGGGGTCCTTAGCTGTCAGTGTTGCCTCTCGGATAGCAAACTCCTCCAGTCACGAATCAGGGCAGAAAAGAAGAAAGTCCTATCCCACTCAGAAAGGACCCCTCCACCATGCAACCCAAAAATGTGGTGCTGTTGAGTTGGATCTTTAACCCTGCGTTTTTTTGAAAAGTGCGCTTCCCTACTAACCAGCAAAATATGTTTGGGGGCAATGGCCACATAGTGGGGCGTGTGGGGTTCATAGAATCAGCTGACCTCAGCGCTTCGCGGCTACCGCCAGGCGGCAAGCTCGGCGCTGAAGGTGAACCTGGGAGATCTTCAGGCGCGTCGGACGTCTTTTGAAGGTTTGCGAGCGGCTTTTCTAGGGGTTCATTCCCCATTCTTTTCAGCCATCGTTCTTTTCAATCCAGCCATTTCTTCAGGGTTTTTGGTGTTTTTTAGAAAGAAGGATCCCTGAAAAGAATAGGGTGGCTTCTTCTTGAGCTTTGAAGGCTTTCCTGAGAAAGGCCGCGCATGTACCGCGCGCCCACGCGTAGGCGGCAGCTCCGGCTGGCCAAGAGAGGCAGGCTTTTTTCGTGTGTGTTTTTGTTTCAAGGGGGGCGGAGGGTCCTTGCGGCTGAGTTTCCTCGTAGTGCGATATTGAAGCTGGAAATATGGGAGGCCTGTTCAGTGGGAACCCATTATCCTTTCTGGTTTGGGATCACCTTCGAAATGGTCAATTCTAGAAAGAGACCCCTTTACCAGGGACACTGGGCAAATTTCCTGTGGTGTTGTTGGCGAGGGACTCACCTCATTCACGGCTAGGCGGTGCTCGTTTGTTGAGAATAGCAGGCTTAGATTTGAAGAAGACCTCCTATGTTCCAGTTCGAGCTTCGCTAAATTCTCCGGCCATGCTTTAGAGCTGATCATTTAGGTTGCGCCTGTTGAACCTGCCAAGTCGCGGCGGGCTGACAGGGAGAAAGAAAGGAACATCTCCCATGGTGAAGGTGTTGAGGCTTGGCGAGCTGCGGTGCGTGACGGTAAGCCTTGCGTAGGTCGTTGTGGGTGAGCACAGGCACACGAGCACACACACACACACAAAGCCCAGCGGAGCATGGTGCCATCTACTTTCATCCTGGAGTCAACGGTGATTGTTGTTTTGCAGGGCATTGCCTAACAATGCAGGCCAGACTGCATCCTGCAGCAGGCTTCGTTACAAGAAGCAGTTCTTGAGACTCAACAAGCTTCCTTGCAACGAGCCCTCTGCCAAAAACTGTGTGGTTTGAGAACGGCTTTGCGCATGCGCGCAGGCTCGACGTTGATCGCCTGGAGCCTAGATGTCGAGCAAGGGCTGGGTGAGGTCGAGGAAGCCTTTGTGCTGGTTTGTATGACCTTTGGTGTGCTCGGCCTTTGTTGTTTGGCGTTCCTTACCAATCAGCCAGCTAACCTGGGGTGCTGTTTACGGCCTCCTTTCCGTTCACGCAAGTGGCACTAAGAGCAGAAGGAGGCAGGGCTCCTGCAGCTGATCCCGTCCATCTTGAGTGGGCCTCACGGGGGGAAAAACAACCTTCCCAAGTCTACGGACGCAAATGACTGCAGAAGTAGGCTGGGCTGTGATTGGGCCTCAAATTGAGCGGCACCTGCTTCACCATTTTGTGGCTTAGATGGGGGATTCTTGCAAAAAAGGGCCCTGGCAGGTGATCCCATCATTAGTAAACACCCAAATAGTGGAGTGGCTAGATGAGTTCACAGCAACATGCACACTAAGCAATGTACGGGGAGAGGGGTCCACGACCCGTAAGGGTCCCCCTTCCGCACAATTCCCATGGTCGAAAGCATGCCTCTGTTTGGAGTATCAGGCCGTATTTGTTTTGTATGGCGGCGGGCCTCCATGGCAATGAGTACTGCAAAGTGCTCCCCTCGTATCCGATCCCAAGATCCAAGTCCTACCTTTTCATATTGGCCCCAGCCGCATCAAAAAAAAAAAAAAAAAAAAAAAAAAACAACAACAACAAGTTACGAAAAGTGTTGAAGGTGACATGTTAGTTTTGGTCCAGCCGGGGATGCCCAACCAGGAATGCTCGTTTTTTTCCATGCGGGCCGGAACAAAAAATGCGGCTCCGGCAACCAAATGATTTGCACATCTTTTTGCATGGTAATTGTAGTCATAAGACCCTCTTGAAACAACCATGACGTCCAGTTCGCCAACCAAGGGACAATATAAGCCTTACTTGTCACTGAATCATTTCCCACACTTGTGATGCCTTCTGCGCACGCTATCCCGCCCACGCGCTGCAACGGTTTCAAATCTATGACAGCAGCCCACATCTTATGCCGAAGCCAGCAGTCACCCGCGCAAATCAGCGCTGGCTGTGAAGAGAAGAGCCAATTGATTCAATTGAGGCTTCGGACAGAATTATCAGGACATTTGATCGAATCATCAACGGCCACCTTGCTATTCCAAATCCTCGCATAGGCTGGCCCCAATGTTTTACCAACCTTTGGCTGTTGCTGATTTTTGCAGGGGCTTCCCAGGTTTCGCACCCGCCCTCGAAAAGTGTGGAAGCGCGTGGAGGCTGATGAATCCATCCGAAGCTCCCTTTCAACATCAACTGCAAAGCGGGAACCCTCTTTGGTCATAGTGAGTGGCAAATAGGGGTCCCAGGAGCACAATGCCTAAGGACCAACACCATTTTGCCCCGTCTTGGGCGAGCCAAGCAACATGGGTGTGTGTGTGTGTGTGCTATTTGTTTGTTACAGGTTTCGCTATAGGTTCGTTACAGATTCTTGTCACCATTCATCAGGAACCTTAAATTTTTGGGGACCCTTATTAAGTTTCCGCTTTTTTTGCTCGCCACTTTGGAATTCCATGGCAGGGTCCGATCTTTGGCGCGTGGCTCAGGAGGCGGGGAAATAAAGGGGCGGCTGGGGGCTGGGGCGACCAAATCGTGTATTGTGGAAAGGGGTTATTTTTGTGAGGGGGGGAGACGTTTGGCCAACATTTTTGGGGACATGGGAGATTTCAGTGAATTTCCAACAAGACCTGATGACCCACTAAATTTCTCATGTCCTTTGGGGGACCAGGTATTTTTGACCGTGGTGGCTTGTCCAAGCCCCCCAACGATCAACCTCCCTCGGAAAAGTTGATTCTCCGCCAAGTCACCTGATCTAAGTTCTAGTGTGGCCCCGGGCCAATTTTGAGTTTCTTTGGGTTTAGAATTGCCGGAGTCCTGATAAGATTTGAGCTTCATTGCGGGGGGCCACAACAAGTGCTTGTTTCGGGGGTTCTTTGGATGTGGCAAGCTGGAAAAGCTTCTGCCAGATGTGGCTTTAGCCTTAGGGGTTGAGACTGGGTCGCCCTTTTGGCCAAGTGAAACTGAAACAAATTTGCTTCGGGGAGCAATTCATTGCCTGGGGGCCCAAAAGGCGCCCCCTATGCACATAGATTCTGATGTGGGGCCTGCGCTGCTCGAAGGTTGTGCCTTGGCTTAGAGCTGGAGATCGTTTTTTGAAACCAGAGTCAAGATTGGCCTTGTTTGGGCCTCTGGGGGGTGGGGGGTGGGGGGGCAGAGCTAGATTCGTTTTGGGAAGCTGCAACCAGACAAATCATTTGTTTGGGTGCCCCCTGCACATTTCTCCCCACAAGCAGTTGCACGTTTTGTGGGGATGGTTGGCATAAGTTACTATTTGTATTATTGTACAAGTGAACTCATGTAAACAAAGTCTGGTTTGGTGGGGTGAGTTTTCTGATAATTGTGATTTTGGTTGGAGTGTTTTTTTCTTCTTCTTCTTTTTTCCGGGGGGTGTGTCACGCAGTGTGTGTCTGTGTGTCTGTGTGTCTGTGTGTCTGTGTGTCTGTGTTTGTGTGTCTCTGTGTCTCTGTGTCTCTGTGTCTTTGTGTATGTGTGTCTGTGTCTCTGTGTTTGTGTCCTGTGTTTGTGTGTCTGTGTGTCTGTGTGTCTGTGTGTTTGTGTGTCTGCGTGTCTGTGTGTCTGTGTGTCTGTGTGTTTGTGTGTCTGCGTGTCTGTGTGTCTGTGTGTCTGTGTGTCTGTGTGTCTGTGTGTCCGTGTGTCTGCGTGTCTGGGTGTCTGCGTGTCTGTGTGTCTGTGTGTCTGCGTGTCTGTGTGTCCTGTGTCCTGTGTCTGTGTCTGTGTCCTGTGTCTTGTGTCTGTGTCCTGTGTCTGTGTCTGTTTCCCGTGTCTGTGTCCTGTGTCTGTGTCCTGTGTCTGTGTCCTGTGTCCTGTGTCCTGTGTCCTGTGTCCTGTGTCTGTGTCCGTGTCTGTGTCCTGTGTCTGTGTCCTGTGTCCCGTGTCTCTGTCTGTGTCCGTGTCTGTGTCCTGTGTCCTGTGTCTGTGTCTGTGTCCCGTGTCTGTGTCTGTGTCCGTTTCCTGTGTCTGTGTCTGTGTCCCGTGTCTGTGTACTGTGTCTGTGTCTGTGTCCCGTGTCTGTGTCTGTGTTCTGTGTCTGTGTCCTGTGGCCTGTGTCCTGTGTCCTGTGGCCTGTGTCCTGTGTCTGTGTCTGTGTTTTTGTCCTGTGTCTGTGCCTGTGTTTGTGTCTGTGTCTGTGTCTTTGTCCTGTGTCTGTGTCTGTGTCTGTGTCCTGTGGTGTCTGTGTCCTGTGTCTGTGTCTGTGCGTCTGTGTTTGGGGCCTCGCCCAAAGGGGAGTGTGACACACCAGGATCCCTTGTGTTCCAGCCGAAGGGCGAGCGTTGCAACCTGTCTCCCACCCTGCCTGGAAGGCGCAGGCCGGGCAAGAGCGACTTCGTCAGGACGGAACACGCGTCGGGTCTCCATCAAGATGTCTTGCTTGTTGCGGTGGTGTCGTGAATTGAACGAGTCGGGGTGTGTGGGTGTGTGTGTGGGGGGGTTTGGGGTGTGTGGGGTGTGTGTGTGGGGGGGGGGGTTTGGGGTGTGTGGGCTGTGTGTGTGGGGTGTGTGGGGGTGTGTGGGGGGGGGTGGGGGGTGTCGGGGGGTTGCAGATTTGTAGGTTGATGCAGTGGTGTCTTTAGTTCGTTCTCGCATGTTGTCGGAAGGGAGTTGTCAGTGCAGCCTGTTACACCCACTCTGGAAGCACGCATGCAAGGCCCAATTTTGCTGCTCGCGGCCTCGTTTCTAAGGGGTGTGCCAAGAACTTGCACTTGGAGGGGGGGTTATTTCCTTTTACTGAGGGAGGCGGAAGACTGGGTGGCTTGCAGGAGTGTGCTGCGCTGGAGACACGCCTGGGGCAGGCCCCAGGGCTGGGACATTACGGTGGGAGAGGCCTTCAAGTTGCGCAACCACCGTGATGCTCGGAGCTTGGCGTGGATGCCCCCGGAAGCCCTCCAGGTGCTTTTGCTTGGGAATTTGAGAGTCGGAGAGCGCAAAGGGCAAAGGGAGTGGACAACATGGTTGGCATGCTTTGGGCATGCGTAATTCATAGCTGGGATGGGAGTTGGTGAGCCCTTGATGAAAGGTGTTTCTCTTTAGTGGGGGCCTTTCACATTGGATGCGCGTGGCACACACCTTGGGTTGACCAGGTTGATCATCCGGGTTCCCTGCCTACATCGCACCAAGTTGTGTTCCAGAGCTGACGAATCCTGACCATTTTTTGGGGGCCATTGGCCGTATCCCTATCCCTCCTATGGCTCCCTTTGCTATCCGAATCGTCTGACCCGCGAGGCGATCAGCCAACAGGCGGAGCGGAGCTGGGAGAACCTGGAGGCCGCAGAGGGCTCGGCTCCGCTTTTGTGACGGGACTTTGGGTGTGGAGAATGGGAAATTGGGTTGGATTCTTCCTTTTATTTTTCTTTTCTTATGAAGTCATGCTTTGACTCTGGGTGCTGTCGAAGTCAGCAGCTGGGGTTGTTTCTCTTCGACCTTGATGATACAACAGTGAGGGCAGAATTGCCCATGAAACTCACGAATGTATCTTTGCCGTGGTAAGGTAGTCATCGGAAGCGTGTACCTGGGAATTCAGGCTGCCACTGTGAGAAGCAACTCTGGGAGTTGAACAGTCGCCCTGTCGCAGTGGCTTACTTCCATTTGGTTAAGACTTTAAAAATAAAATAAAAATAAAATCCCCTGTTGGTTTTAAAGGGAATCTACTGGATTTCTTTCCAGGGGACTTAAGCAAATGGAGGCTGATTCTTGGTAGACGTCGCCAGGCTTTCGTTTGTTGATCGCAGGCTGCAAAAACCGCCACCTGCCCGCGAGCGATCCGCTCTTCCGGTGCTCCGAGGTCAGACGAGAGATGGAGAGTGGCCGCCAGGCTAGGCCACCTCGGCCTTTCGGAATTTGTGAGGTTGAAAAGCAACTAGGCCCCCCAGTAGTGCCAACTTTTACCAACTTTTTTGGGGGAGGGTTCCCCTACTAAAATAGACTACAGAGAAAAGGGTACCCTTATTCTATCCTCCCTAGTGGAGGACCTAGGGCAACATGGGTATCTGTCAAAGCTGGGAAAGCCAACTGCTTTTCACAAAACATGGGCCATCCCAACGAAGCTGCGCAAACTATCAAACTACGCACAAGAAACCTTCGCAAGCGGCGGCTGTCGTGCCGCTTTTTTTGGTCACGCTGTTGCCCTTCCCACTCAGCTACTCTTTTACTCTTTTAAAAAATGTTACGGACGCATTTGATTGACATCAGACTAAATACTCAAGTTTCAGCCTAACAATGGAACCTTGGTCCCTTGATTTGGATGGGTTTGGGGGTTTTCATGGGGGCGGGGGGGGGGGGGAAGGGGAGCCCAAACAAAACCTTATTTAGCCCTTATCACAGCCTTATTTAGGGCTTATTTGGGCTCCCTCCCCCTCCTCCTCCCCTCCCCCCCCAGCCCCCACACGGTCTGGTCCTTGGGGGCAAATCCCCTGAACTCCAGACTCCAAACCCATCGGCTCCCGCCTCTCAGGCCCAGGAGCTCTGTGCAGCGCAGCGTAGCGGCGAGGCAGCGCCATCGCCGGGTAAAGCTCAGGTGCTAGGCTGTTGCCACTTTCTGTGATACCCATAAAGCCCCTATGGCCCTATGAACAAGCAGTCATGGGAATCAACCGCTTTGGTATCGCAGAAAGGGTGATGTCCAGCTGCCCGACAGCAGTGGTCCTGTTTCGCGTTTGCCTGTACCGGTACTTGATGGATTGGATTGGTGCTTTCTGTCTCAGTTTCCACAGCAGTGCACAACGTGATAAAGCTCGAAGCAATGTCAACTCTTCCAAGAGGAGCTGCATATTTAATCACTTGCTCACTGATTGAAAGCTATGTGGTTCCTGTTCAAGCCAAGTGGGGAAGGTACAAGGCAACATCCAAACCACCAAACCAAACCACAGGGAGGTCCCAGTTGTTCAGCGGATTCTACCCTTTTCTCGTTTTTGCTCGGTGCGTTCTCACTCGCCAACTGTTGTCAAGCTGCACGGTACAAGAAATCCCTTTCACAGTGTTGCACCTTTGCACTTCTCCGGGTAGTCATGTATCCGTGGTTTAACCTCCCCCTCCCAACCCCCAAAAAAAGGAAGCACTAGACACAACAGCAGCAAAAGCTTTGAAGGCAGATCGGAGACCTGGAGAACACAATGAGGAGGAGGATGAAAGCTTTGGCAGAATGGATGCGAAGAACAATGACATCTAGCTGGTCCTGTTTTGAGATTTGTGGTCGAGCTGGGGGTACATCGATGTCACCCGCGAGAAGCCATATTTGTGTCTGAAGCGCTACTTTAGAACTCCTTTGGGCAGTACGAGGGGCGCTGTTGGCATTTGGGCCGTGACGAGAAAGTGCTGTTTGTGGTGCAGGCATGCATGCGTTGCAGAGTAGCAAAGGGTTGAAAGGGACAAGGAAACCAGCCTTTGGAGTTTTCTGCAGCTCAAAATGGTTTGTCCCTCCCTTTTCGGAGCTCCGGGCCAGGCCAGGAGGGAGATGGAATCCATTTGCGAGGACCCGGCCAACTGCCATCCTTTAGTTTAGCTGGGTTTCCTTTTTCTCAATTGACTGACCAAACAACAATATGTGTGTCCTTTTGAAGTGCCCTAAACTTGGCAATGGACGACACCGTGTTGGCGATTCAAGGCAAACCAAACAAGAACACATGTGGGCCATTTCCTGTCTGGGGTTGTCTGTGTGTGAGGGTGTTTGCGGCGGTCCCGCCCCAAACCTATTTTACCATTCATGGGCAAAAATAGCGGGTTGGCAGTCGAAAAAGCAGGGTCCTTGGAGAAGGGGCTTGCTCGTTCCATGATTTACTGTTGTGGTGCCAAAGCACCCTCCGCCCTCCTCCAAACTCACCTGTCCAAAGTCAACCCCTGCAGTTCTGACTTTGGCCACTGTGTGAACTTTTTGAATGTTGGACCGTTTGGGTGCAGCTTGGATAGGGAAGCATCGATTGTCCAAGATGAGCGCCCGCAACACAGAGACCACATCCATGCACATATCACTTCTCCGGATTGGCTAGTCGACCTGCACAAACCCATGGAGCAACAACAGGAGTATTGCTTGGCAAAGGCCGCTGCGCCGCTGGAGGGACAACCGGCATCCCTTTGCGGCCAGCCTTGGCACGATCAGGAGCGCATCTTAGTGCTGGCAAGTTCCTATGCAGAGGCCGGAGGGTATGCTATGACATTTGCAGCTGCCCAGTCAAGGTGAAACGCCGATTCAAGGTGGTTGGCACGCAGGAGCTGGGTTCAGGGCAAAGTGACTTGCTGATTATACCCATGCTGTCCTGAATGCCTTAAGCAAGAGCAGCCAATTCAGTAAGTGGATTGCAACCATGCTTGTAACTGGGAGACGCCTTGCGACCTCCCCCAAGAACTTGACAGGTTTTGTTGCACAGTTCACTTTTCGAGCTTCCAGGTGGCTCTGATGGCCAGCATGACTTTGATGACTTGAAGCGAGTAGAATTCACATTAAGCCGTGTCTTGCACATATGCCCACCCGCTGACTTGTAACCTGCCTGGTTCCACGCCAGTTTCCCTTTTAGGGGCGGACCTTCGGGTTTCGTGCAAGTGGGGAGGGGGGGGGGGGGTGACCAGCGTCTGGTTTGTTTTTCAGAGCGTCGGGGCGGGTTCCATGGTTGGTGTTGCAAGGGTATGTGGCCCTTTGGCTTGGTTGGACACCTTTTGGGGACAGATTCCAAGTGAGCTTCACCTGAAGTTCTTGCTTTCGGGTTTCCTGCCATTTGGGCAAATGAGGTGATCTGGATGATTGCAGCTCGCCAACATTATATAGTTTGCCCGTAGGATGAAATCTGAGCCCCAAGCTCCGGGGAGAGGAGCTGATGCCAAAGCTGCTCTGATTTTTTGGGCTCGAGTTGCAGCTACTTGGCCGGCTTTGCCAACATGCTGTTGGTACCTTGGGACTGCGAGGGGAGCTTGCCACACCAAAATGGTGACTCTTTCTACACTTCTGCATGCGACAGGTTGAAAAGTGGGCAACTGCTACAAAGATTGGGGTTGTCTGATTCTTTCAGGCCCGTGGTGTGAACATTTTCCCTTGCCCTAGGGTTCATTTGCCTATGTTTTGGCGAGCTCACTGATCCGGAGGTAAAATGAGCCACACCATGATGGAGAGGCTTACTCGGATCCAAGTCTTGCTTCATGTCTCGGAATTCTATGGAATTCTTGTACTTGTAAAACTTGCAGATCCAGCCCGACCTTGGGCCAAAGCAAACAGGCTGAGGCATACGCATCTCCAGAGGACTAGTTCAAGCTGTTTTGCTTGGAGTGCCAAACCCTGTCGAGTCCTGTCACACGCGGCTGGTTCCGCCGGTGGCCGGTCGCCGCGCCATGCCGACCCCCAGCGTGGGCGCGCATGGCTGCGCCTGCTGCCAGAACTGGGAGGCGCTGCGGCGCGAGGTCCGCACAGAGATGGGGCGGCTGGCCAGGCGCCTGGACCGGATACAGGACGCGGAAAGAGTTGCGAGTCCTCGGGCTTGGCTTTATTTACTAGGTGCCCCTGTGGTGCCAACTTTAACCGTTTCTTTTTTGGGGGAGGGTCTCCCTACCCTAAATAGACTGCAGAAAAAAGGGTACCCTTGTTCTAACCTCTACTGGAGGACCTAGTTTATGGAGGCTCCCCAGATACAAGTTCCCTACATGGGGCCCTTGCTTATGGTCCTCCCGGGTACTCCGGCAGTGAGTAAACGGAGCTTACCCATGACGAGGGATTCCTTATGTCATGTTTGAACTAGAGCCATTCGCGCAAACATAGCAGGCAGCAAGTGTGTTTGTGTTTCTTGCTTTTGAGTCTTTTGCTCTTGGTTTTGTTTGTTTTGCTTGTGCTTGCTTGTTCCGTATCCTTGCCTGCTTTTCTTTGCCAGCTTGCTTGGCTTGGCTATAGCGGCTAGTTGCGTTGCCCTGCCTTTACAGCTGCTTCTGCAGGAGCGGATTGGTATGACACCGGAGGTGTCGGAACTGAAAGTCTGCTTGGAGTTGCCACTTGGCCGAAAGGGGGTTAAAACGCGTACCTGCTTGACACTTGTGGGATGTGAACAAACGCTCCAAATTACCAGTTCGCAGATCCTGTTGGAATGCAATCCGCTGTATGCAACTGTGACGTCCGCGCCTGAAACGTGCCGACCACGCCTGAGATAGATCATGTTGAGATTTATGCCGGGGTATTGTGCGTGAGTTGTCCCCAGTTCTCCCCTTCAAATGCTTGTAGAAACCCACTAAGAATCGCCACCCATCACTTGATTGGATGTTGGGGACGGCATGGAAGCACCACGTGTCAGCAACTGCGTAGTCCGGCCAACTGCGGCCACTGGTTTGTCTCCATGTGTCAACCACGGTTTTGGTACATCCCTGGCGAGTGATTGAGCCTTTTCAGACCTTTCTGGCCGGAAGTTGAAGATGTCCCCAGAGGCCCGAACAGGGCGTCGCCGTGTTTGTATTTGGGCCATCGTTCCTTGAAAGGGACCAGCTGCTGCCAGTTGCGGGCTTATGGTGTGGCAAGACAGTGCTCCCTGAATTTGCCTCGGACCCACCTAAACGGGGACAGGAACCCCTCCCGATGATTGGCTTCATGTTAGTTTCCTTCAGAACCGGCCGCCAATGAACGCGTTTCATGCTGACATTCTGCAAGCCAATCCGGACTCGGCAGTTCGCGTGTAGCCAACCCAAACGCCGGAGCGGCTTGCAGGGACGAGGGCAACGAGGGCAACGAGGGCAACGAAAACAGCGAGTGCAACAAGGGCAAAGAGGACTCTGGGAGGCCGGAGGCCCGCGACGCAGTCAGCCCGCGCCGCAGCTCTTTGACCAGCGTGGAGCCTTGGAGCCATTTGTTAGACCAAGGGTTTGAGGTGTTTTCCGGTGTTTGAGGTCGGGCTTGGGATTGGTGGCCTGGGGTGGCCAGGAAGATCAGATCAATTCAATCATCCGCACTTGGAGCCATGTGTGATTGCTTTGGAATTTTGCGCATTTTGGATCCCAGCGCGAGTTTCGAGCCTGAGGGCCGACCTTTCTTCTATCTTCGATTCCTTGGGCCCTCGCCCACCCCCACCCCCATGCTCACCACCACCCCACCCTACCCACCAAGGAAAACAACAACAACACTCCGCGCAGCGCGCGGGACAAAGGAACCGGCTTTGTGCACTTCGGGGCTCCTCAGCTGCATCTAGGCACTTGGGATCAGGCACGGGACACGATCCTTCGGACACCGAACAATGCAGTCTTGAAAGCCCCGTATCCTTGTGGCGGATTCATGATGGGACACCATGGGGCCCTTTGTCAGCGGATCTCCCTCCCCAACACCTCAAAGCGCGGGTGGGTCTAGGTGGGGCTTGCGACGGATTACCCGTAGATTGTGGCAAGGGGGTTGTTTGCCACCGGCGCGCTCAGCGTTTATTCCTATTTTTCAGGAAGGCCGGTGGTTTGCCGGGGGATATCCAGGAGAGTTCAACAACCCGGCAACAAAATTGGGGGGGTTCAACGGCCAGTCTTGCGCATGAGGAGAGCGCCTGGAGCTTCCCGGTTGTCATCGGCCTGGCGAAGGCTGCGGGGTCCTGGGACGTCTTCTTCGCCGTGCTGCCCCTTGGGCACCTAACGGCCCTGGCCCCTCTCCCCCGGCTTTGGGTGAAAGATACGTGGCCTTTTGAAGCGGCCTATGCAATCTGAGCTTTCCTTGTGGGCTCTAATTTTTGAGTCTGACGACGCGTTGCCGAGCTCGCACGTGCCGGGTGCATGGCACGTCTCAACATGTGAGGTTTCTTCCTCTTTTTGTGTGGTTGATGGCAAGGCAAGGGCAAGGCTTGGGGTGGAAGGATTCTGGGATCGCTCAGGATTCTGCTGCTGAACCTGGGCCTCTTGGCTACGCCTTGGGCTGCAGAATGAGCTGGCACGCGTGGGTGCGTCAACGCTCAGATTGTATTTCCAGGACGTATTTTTCTGCCCAGTTTTTACCGGCACAGTTCTCCTGTTTGCACCGAAACTTGACTGCAAAGGCTGCAAAGGCTTCCCTTTTCCTACCATAGCTGATTCTCGGTTGGGTGGCATCAAAAAGCAAACCAGCAAGGACCGACCGTTTCGAATGGCTCCTGCTGCTGCAGTTCTTGCGATCACCGCATCAGTTGTCCATGCTGTTGACATTGGCTGGACCTTGTGGAAAATAAATTCCCGATTGCACGTGTTTCGTGTAAACTCGGAATATTTCACCACTGGGGCTGCTGCAAACATGTCCTATGGCTACCGTACTTCATCCCATTGGGCTAGGTCAAGACTGATGAACGATTGCAAGCGGCCCAAAGCTGAAATATGTTATAAACATGTTTGCCTTCATCCTGTTTCCGTGCGGGTCCCCCGATGTCAGCGGCACCTTTCCGCCTTTGGCTTGGCGGGTTCGCACGAACCCGCCAACCCCAAACGGTTTCTGTTTCTCAAGTTGGAGGGCATTTGTGGCCGCGGTACTCCGTGGGAACTTCTTTGAGTCGATGGAAAGACAACGCTGAAGGTTTCAGTTTCAGCTCTTAGCCTAGTTGCAACTGGGGAAAGCCATAATCTTGACCCCAACCTCGAAAAAGCGCTGAATCCCGCGGCCTCTTTTTTGCCTTTCGGGTCAAGCTTTGAGCAAATTAGCTTCCAACTGCCACTGGTTGCCACATTTGGTCACATCTTACATCTCCGCCCTTGACTAAAGAACAGGTGCCAAAAAATCCTAAGGTTCTTGAAGCGCACCTGGAAAGGAGCCAAAAAACGCACGGCCGAGGGATGCAGGTCATGTTCTCCTACATCATCCTGGGGGAGGACTTCATGGGCCAGGAGTTCACCGTGGAGGTGGGCCATGCGAGGCGCTGGCGCACCGCCTTCGCGCACGACTACAAGTATCTGGACGCCCGCCGTTTTTTCGGGGTAGGTGCGCGGGGTCTACCGGGGTGCGCGGGTTGAGACCCCCAGTCCGGGTTGGAATCGATTTTCCCCAGGCAAAGCTCAAAATGGGTAGTTCCTTCCTTTGTGGTTTTTTTTGGGGGTGAAAAGCCCGCGACACGCCCCCCAGCACGCCGCGTGCCACGTTCGCAAGGACCTTGCTGGCACCAGTTTGGTGACGCGGGTCTGCAGCGGCGACGGGACTTTGATCCTCTCCAGCCAGCAGAAGAGCCTGGCGGCTTCGCGTTCTTAAGACCCCATTTTGGTTGGTCTTTAAAGGGAAGGTCAAAAAGAAAAACAAAAACGCCAACCATTTTAGGGACCCCTATGTTGAGAAACTGCCATGGATTCTTTGTCCTGGCTTCGAACTTTGAGCAAGTTGCCTTTGGCTTGCGAGCCGCCATTGTAATGCGGGCTTTGAGAAACGCCTGGCAGATGTCATGATGTTCATTATGTCTATTGGCGGGTGTCCCCCTGATTTCTTGTGCTCGGCACCAGGATCGCTGAGGAACTTAGGGACATCACTGCTGGCTTGCGGAACTCGGGGTTTGGGAGTCCGAAGACTCGGTATCCACGTGCTTTCCTCAGCGCGTTTCAGTTTCAGGTGGATGACATCAACAGCTTCCTGGGCTTGCAGCAGTCACAGTTCGAGGTTGGCTGGTTCCAGCCCGGAGTGCTGCTCTGCATGCTGTGACCCAGCCGATGAGTTGCCTGCAAGCCCGCATCCTCCCACCTAAATTGGACACCTGCCAGGTTCCATGCAGGCAGCGAGAGGGGAGTTTGGCATGTGATTTTTTTTTTTTTCGGAAGGAGCTGGCAAATGATAACCCGTGTGAACGAATCACACTTGCAAAAATCCAAATGCCCCTGCTGCCGCATACTTTTTTCTGAGCAGGTTCCTTATCGGGCCTTCACAGCGGGCACTTCACCTTTCAAGAACGACCTTTTGCATTGCCCTTTTCGGTTTCCTTCATTGTCCCAACCAGCAAACGCCTGGTTATCCTCGTGGTTGCTCAGGTGCATCCTTCTCTGGAGCTTTTGCGTCTTCAAGGAGCAGCGGTCTCACGAGCTTTATCACTTGTTTGGTTTGTCCAATGGCAGATATCCTGTGGGGGTGCAGGTTTCTAACAACCGGGGTCCGATTTCAGGAGTTTTTGGCCTCCGATGTCGGAGGTCATGTGTGATCCATCCACTCAGCTCCGGGTCACCGGGTTGAGTCCCGAGGAGCTGCGGAGTGTGTGGCTCTCCGTGGAGGCCATCCTGCACATCCCCCGCGGCAAGCGCACGATCTTCCAGGAGGACGCCTTCCAGGGCATCTCCAAGGCGGGGGCAAGAGGGCAACCGATGGCTGTGGGTCAAAAATAGGGGAACCCCGGAACCCCCAAATGGAACCCTGGCAAATGGAAACATGGACTAAAATCTGCGGTCCCCTGGTGATTTAATATTGACCCACACCCAGCTGGCACGGAAGGAATCCGGAGCGACCAGCACCTGGGGCTGTGAATGGTATGGCCTAAACAGACAAAAAATGGACAGGTTACCTTTACCCTCATCAATGCTAGCACGTGTAAACCATTTACGTTTAGTTGACACATGTGATCGTGACTAAATTTGATTTCAAAGTGTCCAAGGACAAACAATTCAGTTCGAATGATGTTTGGCCCTTCTTGCACCCCAAGTGCCCTTTTGACACCTCCAGAGGCATTTTGCCAAATTTTGGAGGGTGCCGGAAATTCGGGGTTCCATACCAACTGGGAGGGAGCGCGTTCTCAGCTGAGCTGGCACGTTCCTTCCTGTGTGTTTGACATTGCCTTTGGCAACTTTGGTTCTTTACACTCCTCTCTTTGTTTGGTGATACACTTCTCTTCAGCGGTGATCAAGCCTATGGTTAAAGTGCACCCCAGGCAAATTGACTGTGTGGCGTCCCTGTGTTTGCCTGGGCAACCCAACAGGTCGAGCGCTTGTGCGCGTGTACACTGGACACGGTCCGTATCCCGCAGTTAAAGCCATAAAGCATGCTTGTGGGCCAGTTAGAAGATCACCTTCACCAGCGATTCAATAGATTTCTTGCCAAACCTGTTGTTTTTGGATGTTTACTTCTACCGGAACCCTGCCGAATACATAAAATCTGAACATATTGTTTGGTGTAATTTGCTGGGTTAAAGGTAAAACAAATTCGGCGACAGGTCAGGTTCAAAATGCTGATGTTCACATTTCTCATCCGCACCTGCATCGCGCTGCTACTCCTCATAGCCGGCATCCGGTGGCTGGCAAGAACCACCTCAATCACCGAGTGCATGCTCAATGCCGTGGCCTTGAACGCCATTCTCGACGTGGACGAGCTGCTCGGGTTTCAGGGGAACGGGAGATGGACAAGAATGAGGGTTTTCGCATCCGAAGGGAACCTATGTGTTGGAATCCATTCAGCGTCTCCCGACCCTTTGGAGGGCCAAACAAGGTACCGATGGCTGATGTGCAGCAAGGTGTTTTGTATGCCACTGGGACTTTGTGACAAGCGGCCTCATGGCCACAGCAGGTGCCCTTGCCACAAAAAGGGAATCTATTTGCGACGGGCCTTTTCCCTTTTCCACGTGAGGTAGGGTTGCCGCTTTGCTTTCATTTGAGACTTGTCCTTTGGGCGGGGGCGGTGAAAACGCTCGCAAGAACCTTGTGACCGATGTGCCAGCCACGATCATCAGGGTTCCCTTTGTTCACCGGGCACCAGCTGCGCTGTCTGACATCATGTTTAGGTTTTCCCCGATCCGTCCCACGAAGTTTGTCCTTGCGTTAGCAAGGCTAGACTTTTGGGGTCTGCCCCACGCCCCCCCCCGCTTCGACTCCCCCCTGGTCCGCCTTCTGGCCCCCTGCCTGATTGGCAGCTTCCGGTCTTCTCACCGCTCTATTCGCTCGCTTCGCTTCACACTTCGGTCCGCTTTTCGCACCGGTTTGCTTTTGTGTTTCAAGGCCGGTCCTCCCAATCAAGTCGTAGTGCATTCCGAAGTTGATGTGGGACACTTAGTACACGTCTGCTTCACAGTGGGCTATGCACACTCATACGGCGCTGGGGGTACCTCAGTTTTAGCACCAACACCTCTAGACTTTGTTTCGGGACGTTGCATTGCTTAGGGGAATCACAATAGACTATAATTCTCAAGTGAGGCAAGCAGGCAAAGAATCGACACATGGTTTCCAGAACAGGGCCTGATGCCGGTGACAGAAATGCCAGGTTCCTTTTCGCAGCCTTCACGCCCGTTTCCATCCAGCTGGCCGTGCAAAATCTGGAGCCCATCGCCGTGAAGTACAGCACCCGGCGCAGCCAGCGGGAGTCCATGTTCTTGTTCATTGTGCTCGTGACCACTGTCCCTGGACTAGACCTTTGTATTTGGGAGGGGGGCATGGGTTCACGTGTTGTTGAATAGCCTGCTCGTTTCAACCCTGGAACGTGGAAGAACACCCTTCCTGGTCATTGAACAATTCAGCCGCTTAGGTCCTCCAAGTGTACTTGCAATACATGGACCCCCTAGTGCAGACCATGATGGAGGTGAAGCGGGAGATGTGCTACGGCAACCAGACCTTCGTGGTGGCACAGAATGAGATAACACAGGTTCGGAGCCCAAGACGCGAGCTCGCGAATTCGCAGTTGGCTTCACGTAAGCTAGTCAGCTGGGAGTTAGATGGCCCATCCGGGTTTTTGAGGCGACCCCCCAACAAGCGACCCCCCATGATGCTCGAAGTTTGAGAACATAGCTTCAAGCGTTCGCGAGCAGGAGTCGCCACATCTCAGGCGGGTCACACTCAGGTCATATTGGGGCAGACGACGGCAAGTGGCGCAGGCAGCATGACCGTGACCGAGCTGGCAGTGCAAGAGCACAAGTTTCTGTCACCAGGGGAGCTGCCGAAGTTCATCACCTTCACTGAGCCACTCGGCTGCCCAGTTGTCTAAGCGACTTTTTTGTTTCTCAACCATGGTTGCCAACTATTTGTCACATTGACCCGAAATGCATACCCTAACCATCCTTAAATGTCAGCTTTCTTTTGTTGATTGCAAGCCAGGTCATCACGCTTCGAAGAAGAGAGGACGTGAGACGGCTTGGATGACATCAGTCAGAACATGAAGGTTTAGACGTCACTACCAAGTTGATAGAGCTATCAGAGGGCTTTGGATCGTTTGCCCCAGGACTCCCACTTGTGGGCTTTGGGCCTTCCACATGGGCTCCTTTCCACTCAGAAGGGTGGGGTGAAATAACAAATTGTGGCTTCCATTTGCCCGAAAAGGGCACCCTCAAAGAGCCATGTCACGTTGTTCTGTCAGACTCATAGGAGCCACTCCATGGAGAAGGAGGCGGATGCATTCAGCCTGTGCATCGAGACGGAGCACCTGCATCCATCAGGATCGATGGTTGGCCTCACATGTTTGAAACCACCTTGGCCCCCAGAATTCCTTGCCAAAGGAACAAGCTGAAGTCACTCGCCTCATCTTCATCGCGAAAGGGACCTTTTATTTGGGATGATATCCCCAAGTTTCTACCGACCCGTGTCCAGGTAAATTCTTGCAGGATTGAGCGGGCCATCTTGTTCTTCCCAAGGATCCTAAAGGAGAATGCTGAAGAAAGAAAGGAACATGCATATGCAGACTCAATTGCCCAAGTTGCCAACCTGGTGTGTTTCCCTCCTTTGGCATTTTCAGGGTCCCTTGGCCTTCCAAACCTCTTGTTGGGAGTCACTGGCCCAGAACGTCACCTTGCTGGTTTCAATGTTTCGGCACCTGCTATGCTATGAAAATGCATGTTGTTGGCGGCCAGTGGTCAGATTGCCACAAGCTTAACTTGTGAACACAACCTCACTTACGGTGGGTATTCAAGCTTCGCCACACACACAAGCTGGGCTGCGCTCCGGGTACTATAAAGCTTTCTCAGGACCATTTGCGTGCCCCAGTGCTCCGCAGGCAGCATTTACGGCGACCCCGTGATGGTCGAGATTGTGCAGACCCGTTTGCACGCAGCGGCGGCGATGGTTGGTGCAGACATGGCTGCTCTGGCAGACTTACTTGGGAGTTTCCGCACGTTTGGTCAGCATGTGTAGGCTAGCAGGGTGAAGCAGCGAACGAAAGAGAGTTACATATGTTTCCTAGGAAGCCGAAGCTGACATTTGCTTGTCGTTTCTCCAAATTGTTGGCGGTTCAAGGCCAGTTCGCGCAAACCAACAAGCCACCCTGCCAGTTGCAGCATTTGGATTGGCTGTTGTGTTTCGAAGCGTTTTTTTGGTACAGATGTCGTGCAAGGGGTGTTGGTGTCCGGCCAGGTTTCGTTTTTGCCAAGTTGGCCCCTGCCTCCCGCCCAGCTCCGGTCTATTTTCCAAACCACCAGGAGGTAGCGCTCTTGTCGGATTTTTGGCTTCAAAATGCCCTCCAGGTATCAGTCGCGATTTTTTTTGCTGCAGAAGCAAACCCATCGAACCTCGCAGGGGCATAAACAATTAAAATTGGTCACATGTCTCTCACATCTATCTATCCACGTGTCCATGGCGCCTGCCCCTATGCACACCCCTCAGGCAAATGTCAGCTGCCCCGCCCTCGCAGCGTACTGCGACCGCTGGGATGCGCGCCTGCTGCGGCTCATCTGTGCGGACACCTGCGGATGCACTTCGGGCAACTCCTCCGCTTGGTTCAAGGCAAGCCGGGTGACCAATCCGACTGTTTCGACGTGGCGCGGAAGGCATCAAGTTTGGCATGGTTCAGAGGTGAAGTTCCAAGAAGACCTTTGAGAACCTCAGAAACCGAGAATCATGTAAAAAGCCTGAGGGAATCTCGAGGCTCCGGATCATGTCTGCGATAGCAGGCACTCAGTGTGACTTTGGCAAATTAGAAGCCTAAGACAGGAAAATCACATATGAGTGCACCCAGTTTCAAAGTAATTGCTCACGGGACATGTAGGCAATCCCAGTGACCCGGCCTAAAGCAGATATTTGGTTGAGGGGCTGGCCCGTCATTTGGCATTCATATTGTTGACCTTGAGGTGTGCTTGCTCCAGTGTTTTCCCAAGGAACTGCGCTCCGACATCTCCGTTGTGGGCACAGCGTTTTGAAACGTAAACCATGCTTCAAGATCCCGACAAGAAGGCTGCTACCTGTGTTTCAGCACAAGTCCGAACATCTTGAGCAGAAGCAAGGCTCCGAGTTGGACGACAGGGGCTTTGAGTGATGTTATCGATGTCCGAGAATCTCTGAGAGAAAAGGGCTCCAATTTTGGCATGATAAATCCACTGACTCTTTAGTCACCCCTCCCTCATGGTCAACATGGTCTCGGGCTACTTCATTCCAATGGTGGGCACCCCCCAGCAAAGTTTGACGGAGGGTCCCTTATTCAGATGATATTGCAGGTACCGTCCATGGACATTTGTCAGAAGGTCCCTTGATCTTCAGATGCCCGCCCGCAGATGCCTTCCGTTTGATTTTTCAAAAGGCCGCTTGTCTCCCTAGTGTAGGATCCCTGGGCCAGTTTAGACCCAGGAAGGGTGGTTTTTTTCCCGCCGCAGGTTCCAGCGCAGGGCTGCGCACCGAGCTGCTTGAATCTGGCGCGCGTGGAGACCTGTGTCTTGCAGAGAACTCGGGGGACGCGCGAGAGGCTTTGGCCCCATCGGTTATACCCCACCGGGAAAACGGGAGAAATGACCCTGGGGTCGTTGTGTCGTTTCACCTGCCCTTGCAGATCTTCCCCGGACACAGTCTTTTCATTGCCATTTTGAGGCTGGTTAGGGGACGATACCTGCACGAGGACTTGTCTTGAGCAGGCTGGTGTAAAGGCAGCATGGGCACGACGGGTTTGGGCTGGACTCTTTTCACCTGCTACGGGGCCAGGTTTCGGTTCGTCTTCTCTCAAGTGTTTTGTAGGGTTCTTTCTGCCGGGAGAACCGATTTTCCACGGCAAACCGCCAGTGAGGGTAATTGCCCCGAGACAAGACAGATTATGGAATTAGTGTAGGTTTCCGCCAGCCATGGGTGTCCCAGCTTTTGGTGTCCATGTCAATCTGTTTCAAGAGGCTTTCCGTTTTGAGCGTCATCCTTAGCCAGTTCTTTTTTTCGGGTTCCTTTTTTTCCTCCTCCCACTGGCGTCCGAGGCACAGACATGCCGCCGGAGTCCCCGACCTGGCAGCACTTCTGGGATAGCTACGTCTCGGTTCTCTCGCAGGTCTATGCGATTGACTTGGAGCGGACCACGCTGTACCCTGCGGTGATGTCGGTTGTGAGCGTCATGAAGGCCCAAGATCGCATCGGATTTTTCCCGCTTCTTCGCTCGCCGGGCGCGGACTTTTTCCTTACAGGGGCGCTTCAAGGCGGCTGCACGTGGCTCGCTTTTTGAGGCTTAGTAGCCTGTCAGGTTGGTCTAAAGGAAAGCCACTTGTTATTTTGGGGCGCTCCCTATTTTGAGACATGTCCATCTAGTTTTTGCTTCTGTACAACACAATCTGTTCCTGTAAGTAGTGAACCCGCGAAAGGAGCCTCCTCGTCCTTCTCCTGCGTATGGGCCATTTGGATTTTTTGCCCACGGCTGGCGCTCACAGCTTCTAAATGGCGACGAAGCTGATCTTGAATGGGGTTTGGGGATGAACATGCGGCCATTGTGACACAAGCCTGAATCTTCTCCCAAAAATCTGAAGCCAGAGCTTCGCGGAGCCATTGGACGGTCACTCTGCTTACACCTTTCGGGACTATTGGCTGCAAACGGGCATCCTTGGCATATTTGCCATGAGTTCTCTCTCAACCGCCTAGGTTGTTTCAGCAGTACTTGAGCCTAAAAACCTTGAGCCGTAGCCATGAATCCCCTTAACCCACACTAAAAAAGCACACCGGCGTTTCAGGCCCCCACCCCCACCCAAACCCGCTTAAATCAGGCGTTGTCGGAAGCTCAGCACCTCAAAGAAGCTAAAGCTTAAGCACTTAGAACTCCCGCTGGCACAGCTAGCTTTCGTGAAATCTCGACCGTTTCCCGTTTTCTTTAAGTCTTTGGAGCTCTTGGACAATGGGCTACTTAGCCACTCGCAGCGCGTCCAAAACGCACATCCAAACTGGCTTCCAGAGCCTTAAAGGATACCTCACCCTCTTTTGCCACGTAGTATTGAGGCCCAAGTCTCGCGGAGTGGGTAGTGGGCCGGCCTCATCTCCAACCCGTGCAGCCACGCATTCCTGTCACGCAACTTTTTCGAACCAGCGAGATATTTTGATACGTGTTGGTGAAATGGAGCCCTCAGAGAATTTGGAGAGACATCATTTTCTCAGCTTGCTTCGGGGCCGCTTTGAGGCGGAAGGCTGCCGTGCTTTGACCTTTCCGGGCTTGTCCCTACAGGCGCGGCGACTAGCAGTCAGGGTCAGGTGCTTGGCGCGGTTGGCTGCTAAAAAAAAGGAACTAAGGGGTCGGAGCCTGAAAAAGGGTCGATGGGAGTAAAAGTCACTGTTTGTGGCAGTGAACGTTAAAGTGACTGTGGTCGACTTCGCCTTTTCTTGGGATAAGCGTTGCTTCACCTCGCGATGTCACGCATCTGACACAGGTTCTGCAGCCGCGTTCAAAAGCCTGGGGCACTGAAAGCCAGCAGCTCCAGACATTGTAAAGTCAGGTGATCCTGCTTCATGCCTTCCATGCGTTGTCCCATCGTCAACCACGTGCCTCAGCTTCCTTACTTTACATTTTTCAGCCCGCCGACAGCTAGCTTGTTGCGGGCCGTTTGGCCCACAAGCAGCCCGAAACTGGCTGAATGTGCCAGCCCGCGGAGGCGACCACAACCAGCACATGACAACTTCCAAAGCCAACAGGTTTGAGCGACCCACTCCCCGCGTTGTTGGACTGAAACTTGTTTCTTCTTTTTGCGAAGACCATGTTAGTGGTATGTAGGAATATGCAACATGGGGCTTTGCAGCCCTTATTGTCGACGACTTGCAAGGTTCGGGACAACACATTCTGGCTACCTTGTGTAGAATCGTCCAGCCTTCCTCATGTTTGGGCATGGCCATCATCCCGATTTGCAAGTTTTTTTGTTTTTCTCAATCCTGGTTTGGATCTGCGCTGAGAGTGACAAATCCCTCAACACCCGGGACTGGCAGCAAACCACTTAAAGGCGAAGAAGGCCCAAAAATCGAAACCCGCTTCCAAGCTGCAAGGTAAGGTCACCTTTGTAATAGGCTTGGGTGGCTCTCCACTTTCGAGCGCGACCGCCTTTCCTTTCTCGCCAGTTGGGCAGCCAGCAGACCTGGTGCGAGGGCAGCGTCGAGTTGTTCCGGCCGCTGGCCTGGGTCTGCCCCGAGACCTGCGGGTGTCTGTCCGCATCCCCGCCGAGCTACTGCCCCAGCTGCAACTCTACGGCCTGACCCTGGGGAGTTGCATTGCTGCATGGGTGCTAACCAACGGCTTCGTTTTGAACACCCCCGCAAAGAAGAGTAACTACCCTCAAAACTCAAATGGGGTCGAACACATGTACAAGCATTGTGCTTTGGTGCAAGCTGGAAGCTGTTTATTAGAGCCCGTTTGAGACGGCAGGTTTCGATGTCAGATGCGAGGAGATTCGGACAGCTTGGTTCAGTGTGGCTAATGATGGTTGGCCCTCTGGGGCAAGCCTAGGCCAACCCAACACTAAACCAAGTTGTGTTGCTCATTTATCAAAGGCCCAAATGAGATTCGGCCGGCAGTCACCAATCCAAGCCCATCTAGGATATCGTAGCTGTTTGAAAATCTCGTTGTTCTTCTGGGTGGCTTCTAGGCGCGAAAAAAGTGAATTGGGTGCAGACTTGAAGGCGTGTCACAGAGAAGAGGTTTTCAGGGGCCATATGTGGCGTTCTTCTCGCTCCAAAGTACCCAGCCCCGCCATGTGCGAACCCGGGGTATCTGGAGGTCGGATTTGTGTCTAGTAGATGTGCCTTGGGATCAGACCGCACAAAGCGTGCGCGGCAGACTTTCCGGTCCCTTTCTTCAAAAGTGGCGACCCCCAAGGCAATTGACACGCCCCTGCGCAGATTAACATTTCTATGGAACCCAAGGGGTCCCCGCAGGAGATTCCTCCAAAGTACCTTGTTGGGTTTCTTGGTTCGGATGGGAGGTCTTGTCGGATTCGCGCAGGGGCCGCAGTGCGAATTCGGATTGCAATCGCAATCCCCCCAAGGGGAGCAATGCGGAGAAAAGAGCAAGGGCACTTTGGGCACATAGCGCAAGGCTGAGTCAAAGTCAAAGTCAAAGAGTCTTTTTTCCTTCTTTTCCTTTTCCCTGGTCGCTCGCCCCCGCCAAACCATCACAAACAGATGCTAGAGGATAAAATGCTGCTGAACTTGAAATCTCCCATTGCAGAAAAGAGTATAACTATGTTGCATGTCAGAAGTGGTATGAGGCAACTGTCGAGTGCAAACCTTCGCGGCACAAAACAAGCACCCTTGGCATGCAACTCTTTCATAAGCGCAAGAGACCTTTTTTTCTTCTTCCTGTTTTTTTTTTTTGGTTTTGTTTCGCCACTGACCAATTGACTTTTCAGATTCTCACGTGTTTGCTTCGGGCGCACTTGGCACTTCAGTCACAGTCCCACTCGGCTTGACATGTTATGCCCTTTTCTTTTGGTGCTGTCTGCTCGCCTTGTGTTTTCAGTGCTTTGTATTGAACTGGCAAGTGCGCTGATAAGGCAACAGCTGTATAATTCGCAAAACACGAGCAGAAGTCCTCGTTCTAGTTTCGTGCGCTGGCAGGGGTGTCATGCTCGTAGTCTTCACGGGTGCCGCGCTTTTCTGGGGCACCATCGCAACCAAGAGGAAGGCTCATAGTAAACATCAAAACAAGCTTCCTTTTCTGTCACAGGCTCCGTTGCCATGGAGCATGGAGCCAGACTCGATTGGCTTCCGAAGTTGGCACAGGCCAAACTCGTCGTTTTCAACTTGCATTTCCCCCAATATGCCTGGTCGTAGGGATTGTTGTAGTCGGTTGGCCACATCGGTGCTCTGATTGACAGGTTTGAGGACCATCTTCTGCTGCCATTTGGCCTCAGCCAACGATCCGTGTTGGCGCCATGCCGATCCCCTCCGGGAGCTTCCTGGACGGCAACGCGAACTTCGACTTCGAGCCGGCCACCACCGCTGCGCTGGCGCAGCTGCGGAAGGAGTTCGCGGCAGAGGTGGCGCGCCTGGAGACGCGCCTGGAGCAACTGGAGGAACAGACGCCCCGAAGATATGGGTTAGCGGCGTTTTGGGGTGGCTTCCCATGTTGGTGCTTTGGATGTAGCAATTTCTGAGTCGATTATCCCATGCCATGTGGGCCATTTTGTTGGTGCTCCAATATTTCGGGTGTTTCTGTCATCATTTTTTGGGTTTGTAGCCCGCTTGGACCGTTTTGCTTTTGGCATGTCCGTAACACATGTAAAGGCCTCCGCCCACCCACAAACATGGAGCCTTGGTGGTTGGTGGGGGGTTCTGGGAAATCATTTTACTCTAAATGGGTTCTATGATAGTTGGTGGGAGGACAGGGGCTTTCGGAATCTTCAAAACGGGCAATAAATATCCTTAAGTGGCTGTGGCTCAAAAAACCGGTACCAAAATGGAACCCTGGTAAGTGGAAACATGGACCAACACCTGCGTAACCCCTCCTGTTTAATTTTGAGCCACACCCAAGTATGTGTCTTGTATAAGTATACAGCATCAACATTGTGCCTACATGTCGGTTTGGTTCCACAACGTCAAGCTTCTATTTCCAGATCCTGTGGGCAACTCAGGAAACCATGGAAGATTGAGCAGCGCAACAGCCAGCAGCTTGGGCCAATGGGTTGAGGGACGGGTCTGGCATTTTCTGCATTTCAAATGCGAGGTTTCCAAGCACCAGGGACTGATCTGGCAGTTTCTGGGTGTCAGTCAGAGACTCACTTGGACTGTGGACAGGGGAATAAGGTCACAAATGTCGGTAAGGCCAAAGAGGGGTCAAGAGATACCTATTTTATGCATGCCACCATTGTTTGCCACGGGGTCAAGCAAGCAATTGTTCCAAAGGGGGCGGCCCCCTCCCCGGCCTTCACTAGGGAGGTGTTTGCTGGAACCACCCTTTTCACGATGATTTTGAATTTCAGAAGAATTCCGTCACTGTTTTGGAAAAGCTAAGTCATTGTTTTAGCACGGCACATTTGTATATAGAATGAGGTTTCCAAGAACATGTGTCTTAGGTGCGGGGTTGATTTTGGGAAGTCGGAGGTGTTGCGTCCAGGCGGTGCTTTGCAAACTTGCGACCTGATGATGCTTGAGCTGCACAAGCTACACAAGATGGTTGAATAGTTAGTAGGGCGTATGTTTGCTTGGTGTTTTAGGTTTTGTTCATAGCTGTTGCCTGCTGCCCCTCGTCCACTACCTCAATCCCCTTTTACTTTCCCAGGTTGGTCTTTTTTGTGTTTTTTTGCAGCTGCAGAACTCATTACACCGTTTTTTTCATTGAGGCTGTGCGGGCTGCAGAAGACACAAGGTTTACTTTCAGATTCCCAATGCTTGATTTAGTATGGCCAAGTCTAAATGTGATATTGCCAAGACGTACACTCAGATTCTGAGTACTTGATGCAGTATTGCCAAGTCTAAACCTATATAGTATTGTTAAGGTTTTGATTTGGCATTTTTCCCCACACCCCAAAAGAAGCTGAACATTAAAGTGAGCCAGGAAGAGTCAAATTGAACACAACCAGGGCCTCTTGTAGGCAACCCCCCTTGTGCAACTGTTTGGCCTTACTTTTCTGAAATGAGGAAGGTATCTCAAAAGTCACGGTTTGAGTTTGGGAACTGCTCCTAATTGTTGCCCGGATTTTGTTGCCCGGATTTTCGTCCAGCTTTTGTTGCCCGGATTTTCGCCCAGGTTTTGTTGCCCGTTGTTGTTTGCTTTGCTCCTCGCATTTTCCCGGCATGCAAATATTCTATTGGAGCGAGCCTCGAAACAGCCACAGGATTCTGCACTAGGAAAGGCACTTTGTCTAAAAGCAACCCCCCATTACAAAAGCGGGTCCGACATTAATCAACTTGCCTTTCCTACGTTGGTGCTTCATGCGGTGTCCCAGGTTTGTTTCAATTGCTGGCATAAATGTTGACAAGATTTCAACAAGGTTTTTGCATGCAGCAAGCATTCATTGTGCACCGATATCAATCAAGACCCAACACATCCTCAAAATGACCAAATATAGACACCCCTGAATCAAGCGTCACGATTGGATTTGGAACTTGCTGTGCTGACTTCTTTAACTTTCTGAATGCGTAGCATCTCATGCAGTCTTGAAATTGATTTCAGCAATGCACCGACTTTCTAAGGAAGGTGATGTTGCTGTTGCTGTTGCTGTTGTTGTTGTGGTTGTAGTTGTGGTTGCCGCTTTGATGACTAACAGGGAGCGGTGCATGTGTTCCCCGTAGTTTTCTGTTGTTTTCCTTGTTCCCATGTTGTTCCCCCTTCGTCCAGTATCAAATCAGATGTGCATGGGTTCCATTTGGCTCCTTTCGTCCTGCCTTTGTACGGCCCAAGGCTGAGCCAGGAAAACGAGGTGAACGTCGCCGTGAACCCCAATGCAAGCACGGCGCTTTGCAAGCATCCCATGGGGCATAGGGACCACAGAGGCAGCTCTTTTGCCTTGAAAGGAGTCCCTTGAACAACAACCAGCACAAAAAAAAGGACAACAACAAGTGCCCAATTTTTCTCCCGCGTGCAGATGTTTGATTCCTGGAGCGGTGGTTGGGTTCATTCTTGTTTGGTTTTGGGAAGCGTTTGGTCGGCAAGATTGCCGGCTGGGATACGGATGAGGCACTCGCCAGCCGTGCGTCGCTTTACCGTCCTTCGGTGTTGGTTGCTTCTTTGGGTTTCCTGCAGGGGAAAGTTTGCCTTCGTGCCAACTTGCGAAGCGCGGTGCCTAGAGCTTCCGTTTGCCCCCTTCATTTTGGGAGGGCATTGAACTGCCCGAATTTGGCTCGAGGGTAAAACGAACTGACCCATCAGGGGGTCTTGTGTTCGGCAATCTTTGCAGAGCTTGTGCAGAAGAGTCGTGCTTTCTTTTGGAAGTGGCCGCTTTGCGGTACGCCTGCATATCTCTCACTGGTCAGCTTCTGGCTTTTTCAGTAAAGTAGCTCAAGCACTTGTTGGTGAAGTCGGTGACCTTCCCTTCCAGCTGTTTGAAAGGCCAGCGGCCAAAGAAATTGGCTTTGTTGCTGACCAAAGGTTCATCCATGCCGCCCTTGTTCTCAAAAAAAGCCGTCAAGTCCATTGCCCTTGAGCCGTGAACCTGACGTTTTGGTCACTGGGTGGCAGCCCTGCGCCTGAGGCTTCCAGCAATACTACGCACGAGAAAGGCACTGGTTTCGTGCATTTTGGGGAGGCTCGGCGCCGATGGCTCACATGGGTCTGTGTCCGAACCGGTGACCCCTTTTTGGTTCATCTTGAGAGGACACCAACATGAAAGCAGCAATATTGAAAGGGACAGTAGATTTCACACGGTCCGATATAAAGGGATTGTGCCTGACAATTTGGCAGTGCCCCGAAGATGATGCTTAGATTGGTCATAGCGGTTGTATTGGGACTCAGACTGAGCCTCCAGGCGGGTGCGAAACGTTTTTTTGTGCTTTGTTCCTGGGGATTCCCTGGCGATTCAATCGGAGCGTCGGAGCTAGAACGGCAGATGGCTCCTAAAGTGCGACTAGCTCAGTTTGCTTGTTTTATATTCCCAGGGGCACCAGCTCCGCTTTTGTGGAGAGTGCAAATTCATAGGGCACACTCAGACGTAAGAACAGTTCCCAGAGTTATTTCACATCCCCAGTTGGGAGAGGACGTGACTGTGCCATCATCTCCTAAATCTCGCTTAGTTGCATTATTGTTTGTTTGTTTTTTTGAGGGATTCACTCCCCTGCAGAAATTACATATAGCAAGCAAGCAAGCAAGCAAGCAAGCAAGCAAGCAAGCAAGCAAGCAAGCAAGCAAGCAAGCAAGCAAGCAAGCAAGCAAGCAAGCAAGCAAGCAAGCAAGCAAGCAAGCAAGCAAGCAAGCAAGCAAGCAAGCAAGCAAGCAAGCAAGCAAGCAAGCAAGCAAGCAAGCAAGCAAGCAAGCAAGCAAGCAAGCAAGCAAGCAAGCAAGCAAGCAAGCAAGCAAGCAAGCAAGCAAGCAAGCAAGCAAGCAAGCAAGCAAGCAAGCAAGCAAGCAAGCAAGCAAGCAAGCAAGCAAGCAAGCAAGCAAGCAAGCAAGCAAGCAAGCAAGCAAGCAAGCAAGCAAGCAAGCAAGCAAGCAAGCAAGCAAGCAAGCAAGCAAGCAAGCAAACAAACAACAACAAACAAACAAGTAAGCCAATCCATCTTCAGGGGAGCCTGCTTTTGGCCCCCCGTTTCCGTAGGTAATTTTGCTCAAAGAAGAAGAACGGGGATCTGGTCTAAATTGTTTTCCTAGCCAGCCCAAAGATGGCCCTACTGTGGGCGGGTGGGCAGTTGGGATGGATGAAGCTCTAGAAATAATTGGGATTTGCTTCCTCCTACCCACTGGTGTTTGGCGCGGATGTTGCCATTCCGCGGCAGAATTCAAGCCTCGCTCAATCCCCTCCCCCCACCACTCCTCGTTTCCCCCAAATCAGGCAGCATGACCTCCAAGTGGGTTTAGTGGGAAATCAGACGACTCTTAGCGGGGCCAAAACCACCCCCTATTCATATAACAGCTTGGTTGAAATTCATCTGAGGTCAACATTACAGGTGAATATGGGGTCAACATTACGTTGCGTACTGATCAACAGTTAGCGAGGTCTGCCAGTGCCCTTTCACCCTTTTTTGTGGCACAGAAAAAAAGTGGTACCCTTAGAATAAGCCCTTTACTGGAGGACCTTTGGGTTCCCTTCTGTTCCTTCATCCCATCCCCCCCATCCCATCCCCCCCATCCCATCCCCCCCATCCCATCCCCCCCATCCCATCCCCCCCATCCCATCCCCCCCATCCCCATCCCCCCCATCCCATCCCCCCCATCCCATCCCCCCCATGCCATCCCCCCCATGCCATCCCCCCCATGCCATCCCCCCCATCCCCCCCATCCCATCCCCCCCATCCCATCATCCCCCCCATCCCCCCCATCCCCTCCTCCCCCCCCCACTCTACCCCCCCCACTCTACCCCCCCCAAAACCCCCGCCGAGGAGAGCGCCTGGAGCTTCCCAGTGGTCGTCGGCCTGGCGAAGGCCGCCGGGCCCTGGGACATCTTCTTCGCCATCGTGCGCCCTGCCTCGAAACGAGCAACAAAACGGGCGGGAGACTCGCCAAGAGGCGGGAAAAACCCCAAGCCCACAGGTGCCATAGGTGTCCTTTTCAGGTGAGGTTGGTGAAAAATAGACGGGTTCAATGGGTTTGGTTCCATTACCAGGGCCATTGATTTTTCCAAAAGACCACCTATGCCCAAGCCACGTCTTTGAGTTGGCGTCGGCGCTCGTTGAGAGGTCACTATCCTTACGTTTTCTGTGAAATGTGAGGCGGGAGCCCAGCTGAAAGCCCGAAAGAAGAGAAGAAGTTGACTTTCGGGGCGATGTTTGATTGTGAAATGTGGGAACACGTTTTGTTGGGGGGTATTGACCATGTTCAGCTTGGCTTGAAGGGAAGCCAAAGGGACGCGCTGAACGCGCGTTTCCTTCCCCAAAGGTCAATTTGGCATGCTATCACTGACGGGCGCTGCGGCGCTGCGGCGCTCGAAATCCAATGCTGAGATCGCATGCCGAGTTTTGCCATAAAGCTATGCGGCCAGAGAGCAGATTGCAGCTGAAAGAACGGACATGTTAAATACATCCGAACCTGTTGGACCAGCAAATTACCCAAAGAGTGTGGTTGCAGGAGCACCTTCAGATATCAAGCGTTTGAGCCAGTTTGAGCCCCAAAAACAATGCTAAGGGGCTGAAGTGTTTCGAAACACACCCATGTTTACATACCTCTCTAGATTTTGAATTGTCAACGCTGGGCGGTTTTCCATTGGAAGGGGGCTTAGTTACAAAATTCCCCAAGTATCCGGAAGGGTAACCCCACGCAAAGCAAGAATCACGGCAACCGCCGCACCCCCTTGGGTCAGATGAAGATTCCAAACTCTTGGGCAGTTTCGTGTCAGACATGTTTTGGTCAGCCAGAATGATGTGTTTGCCTAATTTGTGGAGAGCTCACCCAGTAACACGAGCTCACCATGTAGGCCCTCTGCCTGGACTTGTTTGGTTGAATTGGAATTCTATGAGTTTCTTGTAAACGAGAGGGGGGTTGGGCTGATGCAAACCTTTTTTTTTTCAAGCTTTAGCAATGTCATTTGCGCATGCAATCTCGTGTCCCTTTCTGTTAAAATTTTGTTTGACATTGACTTCCAGTCCAATTTGGAAAGCTCTTCCCCTTCTGGAATCCCATGTAAATTTAAATAGGCTCCAACAACACATCAAATGTGCAAATGAATAAAAACCGGTCCAACACATTCTATACTTAGAGGAGTTTGTGAAAGCAATTCGTAACTAAATCATGAGTTGCTTATTGAAATTGATTGAACTGTTCAACTTCAATAGCTGTTTCAAAATGTAGCATTCACAAAAACAGCTCGAGAGACACATACATACAAGCAAGAAACAATCTGCCAGCGGAAGAGGGTTGTTCCTAAGAGCAAACAACACGAGAAAAACACAAAACAACAGCGCAAAGGATCTGAGGAAATATGCAAGAGCTGGGTTCCCATCGCTCAAGGGGTTGCGTGCTAACACACTACCGATTATTGCCACCCCTCGCTTTGACAAGGCATGCATAGACATCACAGACACAATTGCCTGATGATACGCCGAGCTTGCCTTTTCTTGCTGATTCTTGTTTCCAGTTGGTGAATCATGGCGTTTGTTTGCAGGTGCCGGACCTTCTTAAGCTGCGGCTTGGTTTGACCCTGTTCTTTTGCGATGGCGCAAGGCAGAGGCACATGCTACCGCGTAAGGATTGCAATTATTTATCCTTTCTTGTTCTTTACTCTTTTTGTTCTTCTAGTTCTTCCCAGTTCTTTGTGGAACATGGCCAGCCTGAATGAAACCTACCCGGCATTGGTTTTAAGCACCATAGCTTCAGTGATTGCGAGTTGCAGGCTCCTGCCACCATGTGCGCAATTCTGTCATGTGTGTTTCATGTTTTGTACCTTGATCCTACTCAGTGCTACAGCCAATGGTAGTTTCCGAGCAGGGAGCTTTTGTGGGGACCGCCCGAGTGAGCCTCGTTCCAGCTGAGGCTTTTGCTTCTCAACGTGGGATTCTTGGCAGGGACACCGCTGCCAGCCGGATCCATTCAGAGATTTGGTGCATCCCTCTAAATTGGAATTGAGGCGTTTCAGCATCAGATCGTCCAGTAATTTGGGATACTCCTTCACCTGTGCCACCCTGAAACACCTCTCACCCTTTGAGCGGCCCCAAAGTTGGCTGAGCTTTGCTTCAGAAAGCGGCAGATTTGGTGAAAGCTCGTCCACTTTGGCCGGGCAAAGTCCGAGGAATGCAAGCCATGTTTTCCTACATCATCATTGGTGAGGATTTCATGGGCAAGGACTCTCAGCCGTGATTGGTAAGCCATTTTGGTGCTCACAACTCTTGGGTGATTGATGTAATTTGCACAAACAAAGGCAAAACATGTAAACACATCATTCCTCCAACCTCAGTTCCCCACCTATTCTCACCCACTTATATGAGGCCTTTGGAAGACAATTTCTGTCAGATGTGCTTTTTGGTGGCTTCCAGTTGGTCGGCTGACTTGATGTTGCAAAGAGGACTTCGGCATTGAGCTGGTCAAAGCGCGTCAGTGGCGAACGAGCTTTGCTCATGACCACAAGCACCTTGGCCGGGTCCTACCAAATGAACAATGGGTGGAAGGGAAGCTTCAATGGCAGAAGCAGGGAAAGCAAGGAAAGATATGGGAAGCAGAGTGATTGAGTTCCACGCTCAATCCACTCTGGATACACAACTAGGTCCCCCAGTAGTTCCCTTTTGCCCTTTTTTGGGGAGGGTTCCCCTACTACAATAGACTACAGCAAAAAGGGTGCCCTTATATTAAGCTCTCTACTGGAGGACCTAGACAATCTTCAGTGTGTGATGTACGATTCATTATGTAGCCTCCAAACGGACAGGCACACACACACAAACCAAATCAGAACACATCATACGACGCCAGACCATCACAGATGCAACACAGCCACAACAGACCTCACACACACAACAAAGTGCATACGCGCACACCCACACACACAGACACACAGACACACAGCCGCACAGACCCACACACACACAGACACACAGACAGACAGACAGAGACAGACAGACAGAGACAGACACAGACACAGACACAGAAACAGAAACAGACACAGACACAGACACAGACACAGACGTACTCACATACACAGACACACAGACACACAGACACACAGACACACAGACACACAGACACACAGACACACAGACACACAGACACACAGACACACAGACACACAGACACACAGACACACAGACGCACAGACGCACAGACACACAGACACACAGACACACAGACACACAGACACACAGACACACACACACAGTAACACAGAACCACAGACACACAGACACACAGACACACAGACACACAGACACACAGACACAGACACACAGACACACAGACACACAGACACACAGACACACAGACACACGCACACACACAGACACACACAGACACACAGGCACACACAGACACACACACAGAGACACACTGACACACACACAGACACACACACAGACACATACACACACAGACACACACACGCACAACACAAACACTGCACACCACACACCGCACACACACACACCACAAACCACACACCACACACCACGCACCACACACCACGCATCACGCACCACAACTCACACCACACAACTCATAACGCACAACCCACAGCACACAACAAACAACACACAACAACAACACAACAACGTAACACACCCAACAACACACCACGCCGCACAACAAACACACACACACACACACGCACGCACGCACGCACGCACGCACGCACGCACGCACGCACGCACGCACGCACGCACGCACGCACGCACGCACGCACGCACGCACGCACGCACGCACGCACGCACGCACGCACCCACACACACACACCCACACACACACACACCACACACACACACCACAGACACCAACACACACACCAACACACACACACACCAACACACACACCAACACACACACACCAACACACACACACACACCAACACACACACACACCAACACACACACACACACCAACACACACACACCAATACACACCAACACACACCAACCCACACCAATACAGACACCAACACAGACACCAACACAGACACCAACACACACACACCAACACAGACACCAACACAGACACCAACACAGACACAGACACAGACACCAACACAGACACCAACACAGACACCAACACAGACACCAACACACACCAACACAGACACCAACACACACACACACACCAACACACACACACCAACACACCAACACACCAACACACACACACACACACCAACACACACACACCGAAACACACACACCAACACACACACACACGCACCAACACACCAACACACACACACGCACACACCCACACCCACACGCACACGCACACGCAAACGCCCACGCCCACGCCCACGCCCACGCCCACGCCCACGCGCACGCGCACGCGCACGCGCACGCGCACGCGCACGCGCACACAGACACACACTTACACACAGAGACACACACGCACAGACACACACACACACAGACAGACACACACACACACAGACACACACACACACAGACACACACGCACAGACACACACACAGACACACACAGACACACACACACAGACACACACCAACACACACACCAACACACACTAACACAGACACACACACACACACCAACACACACACCAACACACACACCAACACACACACACCAACACACGCACCAACACACACACCAACACACACACCAACACACACACACCAACACACACACACACACCAACACACACACACACACCAACACACACACACACACACCAACACACACACACACACACCAACACACACACACACACACACACCAACACACACACACACCAACACACACACACACGCACACCAACACACACCAACACACACCAACACACACCAACACACACCAACACACACCAACACACCCCAACACACCCCAACACACACCAACACACACCAACACACACCAACACACACCAACACACACCAACACACACCAACACACCGACACACACCGACACACAGCGACACACCGACACACACCGACACACACACCGACACGCACCAACACACACCGACGCACACCGACACACACCGACACTCACCGACACACACCGACACACACAGCGACACAGCGACACACACCGACACACACCGACACACACCAACACACAGCGACACACACAGCAACACACACAGCGACACACACAGCGACACACACAGCGACACACACAGCGACACACACCGACACACACCGACACACACCGACACACACACACACACACACCGACACACACCGACACACACCAACACATACCAACACATACCAACTCACACCCACACCCACACCCACCCACACCCACCCACACCCACCCACACCCACCCACACACACACACCCACACACACACACACTTACACCCACACACGCGCACACGACCCAAGACCCAAGACCCAACAAGACGCAACAAAACGCTCAAATTAAAGCATGGCGCGCAGCAACACACACTTGTGGTAATCCTCTCTTTCATTTACGCTTCTGCTCTCCTATGCGTGTGCTCGTGGATTGTTGATCTAGTTACAGTCGAGGGTACAGGATCGTAAGCCGCAATTGCTAAACGGGAAAAGTGGCGAGACATCAGAGTAATGAAACTGAATTTGTAAGAGCAAGGTTTGTAGCAAAGGGGCTCCAAACGCAAACAGCGCCAAAAAGTTCAAATGGGACAGCAAGCTGCGACAACTGCGCCTATGCCTGTCCGTGAAAAGCAGGTACGTTTTCACCCCGGCTCAGGGGCGTCTTCGTTGGCCAGAGTTCCCTGAGCCAGGCTCTGACCCCCTGCGAGTCATGCTTTGCCTCTTTGGAAACTGGTGGAGCCAGCTGATCTACTCGTTTGCCTCAAATTGGGCATTGGTCTGGCACATGTATTGAAATTCAAATAGTAAATTGCGCCTGGCGCGTTGAGCTGCCTGGCGCAGCCAGAAATCAATCTAGGCCGCGGCAAAAACCTGAGAGACCCGTAGTGACAGGGTTGGAAACACACACACACACATGCACACGCATAAACAAACAATCGAGCAAACACGCCAAATCACCACGCGCCACACACCACACACCACACGCACACGCACACGCGCACCACACGCACATATGCACGCACGCGCACGCACCCAGGCACGGAGACACGCACACGCGACGAGAGCACACCAGACCCGGACCGCATAAAGCGCAAGGGTTTCACCTATATCCAAATCAGCTGCGGAGTTTTGAACATATGTCGGGTTTGTCTCTCGAGGCACCTGGACCTAGCGGGCAGCAGCTTGGTGACTCGTGTTTGCAGCGGAGAAGGTGCTCTCATCCTCTCCACCATGCAGACCAGCCTCATCGAGGACCATTGGGAACCCCTTGCAATATCGAGGGTCCCTGAAAGGAGGCGTTTAGGGTAGTTGAAAGATTACGCTTACCAGTTGATTCAGGAAGCCCCTTGTGAAGCAGATGGCTACTGTAGTTTGGATGACGAAGGAACTCTGATATGGAACTCTGATATTTGAGGTGCTACTGGCTAAAAAGTCTTCTCAAGTCGGAGCTGCTAACTGGGTTCAGGGCGTCTCTCGAGACCTTTTTGCACTCCATTCAGGGGGGTGTATGTGTAGCGCATCCAGGCAACTCCTTGCTTGGAGTCATAGTACGTGCCAGTTTGCCCCGGCGATGTTCGCTTGCTCACCGGACATGGTATGATCCGAACGGTTTGAACATCCCGATGCGGTGGCCCTCGCATGTGGCGATTTCGGGCATTCCGGCCATGGCCGTGGCCTGTCGGTTTTTCTTGGCGACTTCAATTTTAATATAGAGGGACCCACCCCGCAGAGTATCTTCCTTTGGCACCTGTTTACGTAAACCGAGAGGTTTGTGGAATTTTGTTGCGCAGGACATCAACAGCTTCCTGGGCTTGAAGCAGGGCCAGTTTCAGCCGGGCTGGTTCCAACCGGGGGTGCTGCTGAATTTGCTTTGCGCCTTGGACAGGGGCTGATTGAGTCGAAACCCGCGAGCTGGGAAAAGCACGGGCCGAGTGGCGAAGTCCCAATTTGGAACTCGTGTTTGCAGAGTCCAAATTCGAAGCCCGCATATCATGAGACGCAACACATACGACCCAAGCCTTAGCTTCTTAGTGCCCTGCCTCATTTCAGCCATGAGGCATCCTCCTGTGGAGCTTTTGTGTCTTCAAGGAGTTGCGGAGTATTTGGCTGCTGTGGGAGGCGACGAACAAACTCAAGCGCACGCGCCGCACGATTTTGCAGGACAACGTGTTCCACGGGCTCTCCTGGGCCCGCTTTAGGCCAGGGTTCAAGCTTTGTAAGCCTTACCCATGTCACAACGAAGAACAGAAGGCTTTTGCGTAGATTGTGATTGTTAGTTTGGTAGTGGATGAAGCCCTTGTTGAGCGAGTGTAGGGTCAAAATGCGAGGTGTCGTCCGGAGGTTGGTCAAAAGCAGGTTTAAACCGAGACATCCAACTAGGGGTTGGGCCAACCAGTCTAAAATCATTCTTCAACATCTATTTAGACGTCCTCCTTTCGGTTCTCCTTTGCAGATAGTCGTGGTCCATTCATTGAAGCCGGTTTTGCCCAATCCTGGTGCCTCAGGCTCCTGCACTTGACCTTGTTCTTGCGTTTTTCTGTGGCTTCCGTGCTCCTTGGTGCTGGAATTCGGTGGCTTGCGCGGACAACCTCCATCACAGAATGCATGCTCAACGCGGTGGCCTTGAACGCAATCCTGGACGTGGACGAGTTTCTGTTCGCGGCGTTTACGCCTGTCGCCATCCAACTTGCCGTGCAAAATCTTGAGCCAATAAAGGTCAAGTATACTGCGCGCCGCAGCCAGATTGAGTCCCTGGTTTTGTGCCTGCTTTTGTCAATCACGATCATCACGTCGTACTTCAATCTTTTGCGACCCCTGGCAGACACCATGGTGGCTTGCCTGTGCTCAGCAACCAGTTTTAGAGTTAGTTATTACGTGACTTTTTGCAAAGCTGTACGTCCTGATGCTTCCCGCCAATCAGGTTTCAGAAGATTCCAACGCGTTGGGGTTTTGTTGTCACGTTTTGGGCTTCTGTTTGAGCTTCTTCATTTCTGGCCAGGTGGCTGTGAAGCAGGAGTTCTGCTTTGGGAACCAGACCTTCGTGGTGTCTCAGAACCCCAACAGCGGCCTGGTGGTAGGCATGGCCACGGTGGCAGAAAGGACGGGGCAACTTTCAGTGGTGGAGCAGGCAGTGGAGTACCACAAGTTTTCGGATGCGTCGGAGCTCCCTTACCTCATCTCCTTTGCAGCACCAGGAGTCTTGAAATGAGCAATCGCCACTGTTTCCTTTGCATGGGATTAGGTCATGGTGGCATAAGCATGTTGAAACAGGGGGCCAACCTGCTCAAGGGTGGCACCAACTGTGATGGCATTTGGCGAAGCCTTTGTCCAAAGCTGGCCTTCAAAGATTGTCAGTTTGCTGGTTTCAGTCATGACCCAAAAGGGCGGCTATTCATATTGGGTGCGCTGTTTTTTGAGTTGTTTGTGTTATTACCATGTGTTTGCATTGCGAAGGGTTCTTCCGGTAAAGTCGTTGCGTTCTGCACAGCACCTGCATAGGGAAAGTAGACAGTGAAATGCATAGAGGCATGCGTGGGAAAAGTGCACAGTGAAATGCAAAGAGGCATGCATAGGGCAAGTACAGAGTGAAATGCATAGATGCATGCATAGGGAAAGCAGACAGTGAAATGCATAGAGGCATGCGTAGGGAAAGTGCACAGTGAAATGCAAAGAGGCATGCATAGGGCAAGTACAGAGTGAAATGCATAGACGCATGCATAGGGAAATTGCACAGAGGCATGTGCAGGGAAAGTAGACAGTGAAATGCATAGACGCATGCGCAGAGTAGACAGTGAAATGCATGGGGGCATGCGTAGGGCTAGTACAGAGTCAAGTGTATAGATGCATGCACAGGGGAAGTAGACAGTGAAATGCATAGAGGCACGCACAGGGAAAGTAGACAGAAAAATGCATGGAGGCATGCATAGGGCAAATACAGAGCGAAGTGCATAGAGGCACGCATGGGGCAAGTACAGAGTGAAGTGCGCAGATGCGTGCACATGGAAAGTAAACAGTGAAATGCATAGAGGCATGCGCAGAGTAGGCAGTGAAATGCATACAGAGGGAAGCGCGTAGATGCATGCGCGCGTAGGGCAAGTACAGAGTCAAGTCCATAAATACACAGGGAAAGTAGACAGTGAAATGCAGAGAGGCATGCATAGGGCAAGTACAGAGTGAAGTGCATAGATGCGTCACAGGGAAAGTAGACAGTGAAATGCATAGAGGCATGCACAGGGAAAGTAGGCAGTGAAATGCATGGGGGCATGCGTAGGGCTAGTACAGAGTCAAGTGTATAGATGCATGCACAGGGGAAGTAGACAGTGAAATGCATAGAGGCACGCACAGGGAAAGTAGACAGAAAAATGCATGGAGGCATGCATAGGGCAAATACAGAGCGAAGTGCATAGAGGCACGCATGGGGCAAGTACAGGGTGAAGTGCGCAGATGCGTGCACAGGGAAAGTAAACAGTGAAATGCATAGAGGCATGCGCAGAGTAGGCAGTGAAATGCATACAGAGGGAAGCGCGTAGATGCATGCGCGCGTAGGGCAAGTACAGAGTCAAGTCCATAAATACACAGGGAAAGTAGACAGTGAAATGCAGAGAGGCATGCATAGGGCAAGTACAGAGTGAAGTGCATAGATGCGTCACAGGGAAAGTAGACAGTGAAATGCATAGAGGCATGCACAGGGAAAGTAGGCAGTGAAATGCATAGGGGCATGCGTAGGGCTAGTACAGAGTCAAGTGTATAGATGCGTGCACAGTGAAATGCATAGACTTGTTGCACGAGCGTAACTTGCACGAGGGAACTTGCAGCTTGAAATTAGCATCTTACGGCGGCGCTGTGGGACCAAGCGCACTCTGCGTAAATGAGACCCTCTCAGGGATCGGAGTGGTCGAGGTGCAAAAACTGAGGGTGAATTTTCAACTTGCCCGCGCGACCTTCTGTGGGGATCGGGGTGGTCGATGTACAAAATCTGAGGGTTTTTAGCGATTCTTGAGGTGCACACGCGGCCCTCTGCGGGGATCGGCGTGGTCGAGGTGCAAAAACTCGGTTTTCTGCGTTTTCTGCTCTGCGCGCGCGACGCTCTGCGTGGATCGTGCGTGTCGGCTCGCCCTCGCTACGGTCCCGTGCGAATCTTCGCGGTTCAGGCGCGACCCTTTGCGGAGATTGTGCATGTCAGATCGCTCTCGCTGTGGTCCCGTGTGAATCTGCGCGCGGCCGTCTGCAGGGATCAGGCTGCAAAGTCGCACCTTGCAAGTAGACAAGTAGTACTCGAAGTACGTCCCCGCAGCTCCGGCTGCAAAGTCGCAACTTTTAAGTGCGAACGTAGCACGCGAAGTACGTCCCCGCAGCTCCGGCTGCAAATTTTTGAGTACAACAGTCGTTACGCGAAGCACGTTCCCGCAGCTCCAGCTGCAAAGTCGCAACTTTCAAGTTCAAAAGAAGCACGCGTGGCGCGCTCCCGCAGCTCCGGCTGAAAAGTCGCAATTCTCAAGTTGAAAAATAGTACGCGAAGTACATTGCGCGTGGCAACTTGCGGAGAGCGACGTGCAGACCTGCACAGAACAAGTTGCTCAAAGACAATATCTATATACAAAAAGATACAAAAATACACTCTGCAGCATGGGAACCCTGTTGTCGGAACGATGTGGTCTCTTCCATGGCAAGGCTTTGTTTTTCTTCATATACCTTGGAAACTGTTGCTTTTGGCACTGCCGCCGTGCTGGCATTCGCGTTGGATAGTCCCGTCTTCTAGTTTCTGAGGGGGGCGGAGTAAAGCAATTTTGTCTGGTTGCGTTGTCTCAAGTTTCCGGGAAACCCCACGGGAAGCCAACCATGGTAACCACAGTTTGGGATCTTTTGGGCCTCGCGCGCAAAAAAAATCCAAGGACAATTCAACAAGCAGGTGACTGATAGCATGGAGACCCAGGCCCAGGATCTGATCCTTTGCATGGAGACGGATTTTTTTACAGAGGGCGGCCAGTGGCAGCTTGGCGACATGTGTCCGTGATGTCCTGTCTGCTTCAACAAAACACATACGGATCAAATTCTTCTTTCCGGTGGTACAACAGGCGGCAGGTTTTCCAGTCACGGCTTGCAGATGCGTTCAGCCTCAGGGTGGACAGAAGGCACGAGCCGCATGTTGGGGCGCTCCTTTTTGGGTGCCATCCCGGTGATTCCTTCTTCGTGAAAAGGAGCTAGCAGAGAAGGGGGTCAGCGCAATGAGGTCTTTGTTAGCGGGGCTTCTCTATTTCTGAGGGCTGGCGCCCAGCACCAAACAAAATCCAGAGTCGCTAAGCTTTACTTTGCACAGATCTAAGTAGCTGGCCTCCTTTCCGGCATTGAGCCAAAGAAGCTGTGAGGGGAAAGAGTGACTTTTCTCAAGGTGACTTCCATGCTTTCAGAGCGCAAACCAACTAAAGACATGAGCAGCCGGCCCTGGGAGCTAGAAGGGGATGTCCTCCCTCGCCAACATTGACGGCGACGGGCTTGGCGAAACTTAACGTCAACAATTCTCTTATAGATCCAGGTGTGCGACACATGTCATTTTTGCGGCCAAGCAACCCATGCTCCACGGGCTCCAAAGATCGTCCAAAAACCCAACCACGTTTGATATTCCGTTTCGTTTCATTCTCCCCATGTTGTAACGGTGTTCAAGAACACATGACGCTGGCTTACAACCACAGTCATGACCTGCCTCTTGTGAACGAGATTTTGAGAGAGTAGATGGCTCAACAAATGGGGGGGGGGAGTGCCATCTACTATTGACAAACGGAGATTATCAACTATCGGAAAATTATCGAACATGTTCTGGCCAGAGTAGATGGCAGAACTCTTTCCAGTTTTTTGAACACCCCCGGCTTGGGTGGCCACAGCCAGGGACAAAAAACATGTTCGCACGAATACGCAATCAAGTGGTGGCAACACTAAACGTAGGTTTGGCAATACCAAATTTGGTGCTGGCAATACTAAATTTGATCCTGGCAATACCACATTTGGTCCTGGCAATGCTGGATTTGGTTCTGGCTGTTTACAGTGAGACAGTGAGTATTCGGAGGATTCGCTTTGCAAAGCGCGTGCGCTTTCAAAGTTTCAATCTTTTCGTAGACCGCCTTTGCAGGGCATACACAAAGATAGAATAATGTGAAGTTTAGCACTGGCAGTACTAAAGTTGTATTGGCAGTACTGAAATTGAAATATGCTAAATCTAATATTGGCAATGCTACATTACGTACCGGCAACACTAAATTGAGTATTGGCAATACTAAATTTGGTAGTGGCAAAGCCAAATTTACTACTGGTAATACTGTTTCTATCACTGGCAATATAATGTACCTCGCAATGCACACACACACACACGTACTGGCAATATTAAAGTTAGTGCATGGAGTACTTTTTTCAGGCAAGACTAAAAGGAGGGGAGCGCCCAACTTGCGCTCTGCCGCTTTGCCATCACCAACCCCGCACTCACCCAGCCCATCGCCTCGGCTCCGGCCCAGCTCCGGCCGAAGGCTCAGGCGCCATCTACTGTTGTCAACAGCGCCCAACTTCCGCTCTCCCCTCTGCCATCACCAGCCCCTTCCGCACCCCGGCTCCGGCTCAGCTCCGGCCGAAAGCGCGACAGCAGGAGGCTTTTGTCAGCTCCGGCCGAAGGCTCAGCAGGGAGGGTTGCGCCATCTACTTTTGTCAACAGCGCCAACTTACTCTCTGCCCCCCTGCCATCACCAGCCCCGCGTGCTCACCCAGCCCATCGCCCCGGCTCCGCTAAGCGCCGGCCGAAGGCTCAGGAGCAGGGTTGCGCCATCTAACAGGTAGGGGCAGGGTGCCCAACTCTGCCCCTCCGCCATCACCAACCCCTTGCACACCCAGCCCATCGAAGCCTGAGAACCAGGGCTGTGCCATCTTCTGTCAAGTATTGCCACCTTGATCGGTTTTTAGAGGCGGTTGACGGGTTGTAAGGGGAATTCGATCGGGGAGATTGACCGGTTCTCAGCTAATTTGATTGGAGTAGGACCAGTTTTGGGCGGGGAATTGGCTGGTTGCAAGAAGGATCTGACCAAGGGGTGGGGTTTGAAAGTTCCCGGCCGAGGCCGGCCGGGGCTCAACTCACGCGGAGTGGAAGACTTCATACTGGAAAGGTGCTGACCCTTTTCAGGGCCCGATGCTTTTTGGATTCATGCTGCGAGGGGAGCGATGTTTTTCATTCGTTGTTTCACTGGCTGTCAGCGGGTAAAATTGAAACTTTCTTGGCGTGGTGACTCCTTTCCTCTCCTCCGCCGCGAAAACCCGCGTGCCGGACCTCCAGGTATCAAGACCCGCTGATGGCAAGCCTCATCCTCCCGCAGCTGCGCACTGCTGGGAGGCTGGTGGGGCATCCCTCCGAAGACTGCGCCAGCCTGGCGCCGTTCTGCAACCAGCGGGAGGCGACCAGGGTGCGTTGGTATTGGCACACGTGTTGCTGGGTAAGTGAATGGGATGTCTAAACCACGGCGGAGCTATGCCATCGACTTTCACCCAACTGTAGGGTGAGTGCCAACTAGAGCTCCAATGACCCGAGCAACTGGGCAAAACGTGTTTCAGGGAATGTGGAAGGATGTGGAGATACTAGTTTCAGGCAACCCCAGGCAAGGAACACAGCGCCAGACCATTGAGAACACCTGCTCAAACCTTTGGCCGCATTTTGCTCCATGATGTCATTGGTTGTTGTCTGCCGTGACCCGCGAGGGGCGAATGGTGCGGATGGTGTGTGGAGACACTTGCGGATGCACGCAAACGAACTCGTCAGCTTGGTACAAGGCCAGGGCCGGGCGTGCGTTTGTGTGTGTGTGTGTGTTTTTTGAGGGTGCGCGCCGTTTTTCGGGGTTTGTTGAAACAGATCATATGTGTTTTGGGGGTGGTGCAAATCTCTCAGGTCCTACTCTCAGTCAGCCAGGGCAAGTGTTTTGGAAGTCTGCGGGACTTGCCTGTCTCGCAAATGGCGGCTCGAATGTTGAACGAGGGACTCCGAAAACAAATGGCCGTAAAAAAACCGAGCCTGCTTTGGGAGTTTCTCTTGGCAAAAAGAAGATGTTAGGATCCTGCCCAAACCTTCTGTTCAGATGGTACCAGTGTTGAAACCCTGCTTGGCGCAAACGAGCTTAACTTTCAGTGATGGCTTGCCTAGGGCGTCACTTTAACTTATGGGTCCAGCCAGTGCTCAACATCCAAGTCGACTCCCAAGAATTTGACCCGCTGCTGGCGAGTGGAATCCACTGGTGCTCGTGCAGTTCCCACTGACTGTGGACAACACGGAACTTTGAAGTGAGTCATGGGAGTTCCTGGGGCGTAAAACTATTGAGGCTGTGCCCACCCAAAAGTGTGGTTATCCATTTTGGCCAATCCACAAGTGAACCAAGTGATTTCCAGTGTGTCCGAACTCCGGCAGGTGCCGGCGGAGGGGTGCCAAAATGCCTGCTTGGCGCGCGCCTACGCGCAGTTGGCCCACAAGCCTTGCAGAGACCAAGTTGATCAAGCTTGGTTCCAGCTCCGCGCCTGAAGTCGCCATGAGATTTATGTTTACCCCCCTGCAAGAAAACCATGAACAACATAGCAATTCTCCTTTTGGGCGACTTTCCCGAGTTCTATGCTAATCTGCTGGGGGGACATATTTTGAGGTCCACGGAATACGCACCAGGCTAAACTTTGTCGGACATTGCAGGTACAAACGAGGAGGGGGCGGTACCAAAAACACAAAACAGATTGAAATCAGAATCAAGCAGTTTCACACAGATGCCAGAACATTGATCTACTGCAAGCGCCCGAGACTCCAAACTCAAGTCGACACTTGCCGAAGACCGGCATGGTTGGCTTATCAGCCAACCGTTTAAGACCCGTGGAGAGTGGCCGAACATACAAGTGAAAAAGGGGGTGGACTTTTTGAGCCGCCCCAGTTGTTGTGTGCCGCCCAACCAAGCATGTTTTTGTTCCCCGCCAAGCATGGTGGCCTTCTCACAAAAATGGCTTCCTGGTATCTTTCGGAACGCTGGTTGCACCGTTCAGGTAAATGCCATAAAAGAACCTTGCAAGCCTAGAAAGCTCCAGGGCCGAACGCCTGGAAATGCCGGACCGTAGGTTCTGGGACGACTACATCGATGTGAGTGGCGCTTTCGTGGGCCAAAACCTAACGGCATCGGACATGTATCCGACGATTCTGCGCCTCGGCGTGAAACGCCGTGCTTGGGGCATCCGTAAGTTTTAGGCAATCCGGCCATCGTGACCATTGGAGGCACATGATGAACAACCCCCACCTTCTCCCCCCCCCCCCGCGGCAAGGTCCCGGAAGAATATAGGGCCTTACTGACCCCCGCAGGTTGTTCCGGACCTGGCAGTCCTCCTCGGTGCTTTCCTATGTGAATTGTTATTCGGGGGCTAGCCTTGAAGGGGGGTACCCTCTACAATTTTGCCAAACCTTGTTCATTTGAGCAATTCGTAATCATAGACATTTTCTTTTTCGGCTAGCCGTTTTTTGTTTGTTCTGGAATGGCAACTCCTGAGACTATGAAAGGAGGTAGTATTGGCAAAAGTTTTGGCAACAGCCCTGGCAATTTAAATTTACCTCTGGTATTTGTGGGATTTGGGTGAAAAGGAACGTCTCGAATTGGAGAGGGGTCCTGGGAGGTGCCGGACTCTTCCAGACAATTATTCAGAGGGTCTTTTGGCCGAACCTTGTGGGTGCCTCTAAACTAGTATTGTCTGGCAGTTGGCTGGAAAAATCGTCAGGGGGTGCATGAATGACGTGCCAACATTATGCAGCCTCTTGTGACAAGCTATCACTTGATTCAGCATTGCTTGCTTGTTAAGTTGGCAAGAGACGAGCTCTCATTCGTGGTGAGGTTTCTAGTTTCTGCCTGGCCAATTTGGTACAGACCAGAAACCAAAACCTTCTCTAGGCAGACGTTTGAGACGGGATGTTCGAGGCTGCCCGAACCAAGTGATAGTTTAACTTGCACACCTACCATTTTGAGCAGGAACGTCATTTCCCAGCTTTTTCTGATAAAATGAAGCGGTGGAAAGAGCACTTACCTTTGCAGCATCATTTTGCTTTTGGCATCATGCGAGCCCATGACTTAATCAAGCCTATGCCGCCCTATGCCCCTCTTTCCGCAAGTCCTGCTTAAGGGCCTCTAGCGAAAGAGCTCCTGCAAGGATTTGGGAGAGCATGCTGCTGCCAATTGCTAAGCTTTCAACCGCTGTGCAGTTGGGTGGCAGGCTTTGCGAAAACAATCTGCAAGTGACGAGGGAGAGTTAGCGTGTTTGACTGTCTCGCAGCATGTGACATTCTTGGCCGTTTCTTATCAGGCTGCTGGCTGTGCCACAGCGGCAGCATCAACAACAGCAGGTCTTTTCTGCGGAACCGCTTACTTTGGGGCCACGGTGCCCGAAGCATCTTGGGACCTGTTGAGGCGTGCGGCACAAACACCCCGCTGCCGCGCCTGCAGGCAACTGACTCAAGTGCTGAAGGCGACCGGATGCGCGGGCCTTTATCACCCCATCATCGTCGGCCAGGCAGGGACGGGCGAATGAGGCGTCCAAAGCATATTTGAATCGGTAGCACCGCCCTAAACCATGGTGGCCATAGTTGGAAGCCTAAATCTAAGGGAAGCCCCTGGTTCACCCTGCGAATTGCTGGCGTGCTTGGTGGGGGTCTTGGTTGGTTTGGGCCCATTTTGGGCTTTTCTTGATTCAACCCAGGACCCGCTGAACCAATCAACTCTCGCACCAAGCTGTACAGCACTAAACTGGTTACGGACAGACCTTGTTTGGTCGGATCCCTTTTGACATTGGCGACACGGGCACGTCTCATCTGTGTGTGGATGGCCATACCTCGGGGCGGCTTATTTTGGGTGGCCATGAGCTGTGGACCCCTTACAGGTTGTGGGTGTCCCAAGCCCTGCGGGCACCGCGGCTTCCCTCAGTTTGGAGGTATCTTCCATAGCGGCGTTCAGCACAATGAGGTTTAAGCCAAGGGTATGGGTCAAAATTAAACCAGGGAGCCGCAGGTTTCAGTCCATGTTTCCATTTACCAGGGTTCCATATTGGGTACCTACAGCTGCGATGTGAGTGATGTGCCCGTTGGCTAGATCTGAAACACAAGTATAGTCCCGCACCAGTTGGGATGGATGATGCCCTAAGAAAACTGGGATAAACCGCCCACCAACAAATTAGAAAGGAACGTGCTGCAGGGACCAGACAAGCAGGATGTTATGCTGACCCTGAACACTGCTGATTGATGCCAATCTTTCTGAGAGTCTTTCACCGGTGACCGTGGCTTCCCTCCACCCACCTCTAATGGGTGCATTTCAAGCGTGCAGCTAGTTCCGTTGAGGCCTGTAAACAGCTCAGATATACTCTGTACATGCATGTATGTACTTATTATTGGAACATTGTTTTTTTTTGTTTTTTCTTTTTCTCTGTCTCTCTCTACCTCCTCTCAATCAACCTTCCATCAGTGGTCGATGTTCGGTAAGATCACACCCTCGGCGCCTCGAACCCGCCCCGCGAGCTCGCCGATCGCTCTGGTTTTCTTCCGCCCAGTGGGGTGCAACCTACTTCTGCGCGGGGGATCCGGAGCGGTTCCGGCCCTTGGCCTGGACCTGTCCGGAGACCTGCGGCTGCCTGGCCGCCAGCCCCCCCAGCTACTGCCCCGCGAGCTGCTCCAATAGCACGCGCTGAGCGGAGCGAGCGGAGGCGTGGGCGGAGCGCGTGGGAGTCCGACGGGTCGGCCACAAAAGTCCAACCCAAACCAAAAAGCTGGCCTTGACATCTCCTGGGTGGTTTGCCATCTCCTGAGTTTTTTTTTGGGGGGGGTTTGCTATCCGCGAAAGGTCGATTGCAGAGTCTTATGAGTTGGAAGCGTTCAAGAGGGGAGCATGGCGTTCAAAGGAAAACCAAACGGGGATGTTCAAAGGGCATAGTTTGAGACATGTTCAAACAGCTGGTTGGCGCATCCATGCTCCGAATCCTGGAGTATTCCACCTCGTTGCGATCCTGGCCTCAACATTGACTTGCAGTTGTTGTTTGTTTGCAGCGGCGACTTTTGATTGACATGTGATTCCTGGGTGCCAGCAAGCATCTTCACCCTGGCGCCGGATCTTGGGGCCTTTACCAACCGGGCTCCCTATTTACATGGAGCCTGACAGGAGGCAACCTGAGGTTCTAGATTCGGCAGGTCTTACGTAAAGATTCTCGCTAGTGAGACTTCCCCTATGGTGTCAACTTACCTCCGAGTATCTCTTTTCAGATGCATGTGTCGGTTTGAAGTCATTTTTCGACCAGGATCTATCTCATCACCTGGAATCCTGGAAGCAGGAAATAACTCAAAGCATGAGCGCCTTTCCCTCCAAAACTCCGGCACGCACCCTCTCAATTGTTGCGCCCAGTTTTCTGGACTCCCGGCACAAGCCATGCAGTCCTTTCATGCGGCTTTGGCGGCAACTCCCTGCTTGGGTCTCACTTCCGCTGGGTTTCCCGCACCGCATGTGCATGTTTGTTGGGTAGACTGAGCATCCAGGTGTCAGCGCCTGGGTTGTCTTGTCAGTGAACATTGTGACTCACGTGCACGATGGTGTGTCAAGGCAAGCACGCGTTTTGGACCAGGATATTGCGGGGGCCTACTGATATTAACCCATGCTCTTACAACAGGATTTATCGATTTCACATATAGATATTGGAGCAGATGTCCCCACCCTGGCTAGTAATGTTTGCAGGAGTTTGGCCCAATCCTGTTGGCTGCTCATCGTTCCTGGAGGAGTGTCTGGTTGACTCTCCTGTCAGCATCGCAGATTTTCCAAATGGACTGATCTGGTTTCACAGCTTTGCCACGGCTCTGGCGTGCCTGTCACAAGAAAATCGCTGGCGTGCCGGTCACAAGAAAATGGCTGGCCTTTCCCCGAAAAAGATGGTGGAGAGGTCAGTTTTGTCCGCCACTTTGGTTTGCGCGCCCGCCTGCGTGCTTGTCCTGCCGCAAACGCGGTGCTGGATGGCGCGGAGCTGTAGAAAAAGGAGGCGGAGCTTTTATGATGCTGGATGGCGCTGCATGATTTGGTAGCTTTCCTTAGGCTGTTGATGTGGGCGTGTTTGATCACAAGCTCGGGGCCGTGCAATGTCGGGTCGTATGCTCATATTTTCTGCCCGTAGTCAATTTCCATTTGCTGGCAAGTGGGTGTCTTCATTTTCTGGGGCCACTTGGTGGACAGCAGATGCTGAGCCACATTTGGACAGCGCTTGACTCGGTCGTGTGAGACATCTTCAGCAGGAATGTGGAAGAGCATGCATGCTGTGACCCTCAGATCGATCTGGTTGACCATGCGAATCCGAGGGCTGCCCGTGGAAGAGAGCCAGCGTGTCTAGGTGTTTTTCCACCTCTGGTGGAGTTTGGAACGTTCGGTCATGACCATGATCCGAGCCTCTCCAGGCAAGTTCTGCGACGCCAAGGGGGGGGGGAGGAGAAATTTCGAGGGAGTGCGCAGGTGAAGAAGGAGGTGACGGCCATCGAGGAGACTTGCCTGGGCCCCACTCGCTGGGACAAGCCTTGGCTTTTGGAGTCGAAGATGTGCACCCATGCTTTGCCGGAAGCACCTAATTTTGGATGGAACTCCCCAAAAATAGATCCGGACCTCCCACTGTCATGAGAACCAGCTTGAAATCATTCCGGAGCAGTAGACGGTCAGCTTCGAGGAATATAATTTCTGTGCGACTTGCCAAGGGCCTGCCATGACACAGAGTTTGCTCTCTGTCAGGGAGGCAGAGCAAACCAACCATCCCTTCTTGTTGGTGGTTTCCCTCATAAATATCCTCAAAGGTTCCTTCGCTGACCAGCGCCCTCTGGGACCGGTGCACCGGCGAGGGACGGGACGGCTGGACAGCTTACGAGCATCTCAAGGCGGGGAGGAGGAAACGGGGCGGCGGCTTCCCATGAGCACGGAGCTTTTTTTCTTTTGGCGGACTCAAGCCCTCAACACCCACTACCGTCGTACCGTACACTGACTGATGTTTGCAAAAGAGACCCACTCGCATGTTGAGCGAATCCCAGGAAACAATTCCTTGCCCCTGAATTATGCCAAGGACTATGCTCGATAAAGCTATCCGCGACAATGAACATAGGTTGGCATTCTCAGTTTGCAGGCTCTTTTTTTTGGCGGGGCGCGTCCCAACTACGTTTTCAGGGGCACTCAATTGATCTTGCTTTGGCAAAGGACGCTCTTCAGTATGTGACAGTGCAATGAGCTTCCAGGGTTTCCGTGGTCAATCGTCAGTGACTAAGAGGCTAGCTCTGAAGTGGTACAGACTTTCGCGCATA